CCAGAATCCCTGAGTGAATCCTCCATCGGTGCCGTAGCCAACAAGGAGGACGCCATGGTCAATCTTGCTGCCACAGGATGGCCCGATGATTCCACCTCAGAGTTTAGGATTTAAGAAAGAATAAGGTGTAGCTTTATTCTCGAATGCTTCCTGGATTTGCAGGGAAACAAGATGATGGAGGAACTTCAACAGAAAGTCGTCACGAAAGGGTACCGCACACGGAGATACGAAACCCCGCCATCACCCACCCAACCCCTTAACTCCTGTCGCAGAAGCTTTCAGCACTGTTCAAAAGACCTCTATCTATAAGTGTCAAAGCCTCATGTTCCCCAAGCCCCTACATCTTAAACCCCAAGCTCTAAATTCTGTAAGGTCAACATTAAACAGGACATAGAGTCTTTAGTATCTGTAAAGGACCCCCGCACCCCCAATATGAGACCCGAATTAGGCAAGGCATGCTCAGGGCTGCGGCCGGTGTACAACTGGAACCTTGGCACGCAGCTCAACATCACGGGGAATCGCGAAGCAGCAAGCGTTTCGGGGTTTTCGAGATTACGGCGTTCGGGCTTGAGGGCTTTCGGGGTTCCCTCCACTCCAACCAAGTCAGAGGTTCAGGGTTGATGGTTCGGGCAAGGAATTCGTCGCGGATAGTGCCTTCCAAGGACTCATCCCGAAACAGTGCCCTGAACAGATACTGATAAGGGACCCCTTACAGGAACCCCCATAGTACGCCGCCTTAAAGGAAGCCCCCATAGATCCCTTAAAGCACCCCTTGAGGTTGAGTGTCACTGATAATGATAAGGTTGAGTGTCTCGCGGGTCTGGGGTTCAGAGCCTGCAACTTACCCTGGGGATCTAAGGACTCATATATTAAGGCTTTTGGGCCCAAAGACCATACTATATAAGGCTTTTAGGCGATTTTGATGCCCAGGGTTAGGGCCAAGGCCTAGGCTGGGGATTAAGGGAAGCTGGGTCAAGACGCATAGAAGCAGGGGATGGTAAACGGCTCCTCAGAACCCTACATAGTAAGAACCGGATAACAGGGACACCCAGAAACTGAGCTGGTCCTTGCTATAAGGACCCTTGACAAGAGCATCCCCTGACTTAAAAGGTGTGTTTGCAAAGCTCCTCGGTCCTCCAAGAGCCTAGAATAGTGAGGGTTTATACGGTTTAGGGTTTAGGATACAGTTCCCTTACAGGGTTCCTGGAAGGGTTTAGTCAGTTTAGTCTGTTAGTATAGGGGCCTCAAGAATTGGACTAGGGTTTTGGCGGAAATTGCAGCATGATTGCGACAACGACAATAAGTGGAAACCGACACAGCTCTCCCTCAACACAGGCAGCTGAGAATTACTGATGTAGGGGCCTTAACTAATAATTAGAACTTATAACAAGGAACCCCAGAATCCTATTCTAATTATTAGGGCCGCTATACTAGGATCTTCCCGGGATGCCTGCCGGGACCTCTTCGCAAAAGAAAGCTCAACCGGGCTCTTGTTACGGATTTAGTTCGTTACCAAAGCAGGGATCTGTAATGCATAGAAGGGCTTGCATGGTATGGTAGTTCAAACTTAATTCCTCAAAAAGAACCCGGTCAGGTAGCTAAGGACCCAAACTCGACACAGACATGCTCAGGGAACTGAAACTTGCAACTGCTTGTACCATCCGCAAGTACGAGGAGCCCCTGGTAACGATACTATCTGACTTCTTTGCGATTCTTGAAGGTATTGCCATCGCAGCTTCTGATAAAGCAGGAACGCCTGCTATCTTTGTTCTTATGGGTGCTCATGTCATTTTGTATATTTCATATCATATCATACCATGTCCTTGCTAGTGCTAAACTGCTAAACCACTGATTACTATAGTCTCACCTGTAGGGACGGTGCCGCTGGCGTTAGCACAGCTAGACGATACCAGAACTATACAATAAGAACGTCATTAAGACTTCCCAAACCTTCGAGCAACAAAGCAAGAGCTCATCTGCAATCAGGTCAGGTGACCATCCTCGACCCCATATGGCTAGTTGTCAAGATTATGGTCAATCATTGGGTACCCTGAATATTAGGTGCCGTAGTATATTAAGGACCCAAGAAGGGACCAATTTTGGCAACCACCCATATACTTCAGGGACCAAAAGTACAGATGCTCGCTTTTTTTTGACAGCTGCGAGCTGCTGGACATTGGCCGGATAGTTGAGGCGTACTTAGGGTAAACTATAGTGAAACCCAAAGGTCCAGGCACCTCCGTCTGTATATGGCGCTTTAAAGTAATAGTTAGAATGGGGTTTTGGGGCCTATAATATTATAATTCTAACAAAGAGCCCCCAAAATAGTGTTGGTAATTACTAAGGCCCCTAGAATAGAGTTCCTGCGTCAACTTTGGGTTCCTTCATGAGGCCCCATCTATCAACGATCCTGCTATTCGAAATTCTAGGTGCGAGTTTCTGATTCTCTGAACCTCGTGGGTCCGGGTTTATGCACTTGGGGTCGATGGCCAGGTCCTGAACCGAAGCCGTGAAGTCTATGTTAGGGGCTCCAACAATTAGAATAGGGGTTTGGGGCCCAGTAGACTACACTTATAACTTATAGTGACTCACCCCCAAAATAGTATTGGTAATTATTCAGGCCCCTATAGTGGACAGGCGAGGTGGAACTGAACTCTCGTGGTTGCTGCAATAAGTGGGAATTGAAACGGATTGAAGGGCAAAAGCTCGAAATTCAAGCAACATATCGCCAAGGAGCATATTCGGGTCTGAGCGATTTATTTATGGGCTGAGGGTTTAAGGCCTAGGATGAGCTTACAGTGGGGTTTAGGGCTTACGAAGGCTTGGTCTTGATGTAGGAAATAGAGCCAAAGCTCTTGCCGCGTGCACAGTCTACACCAGTCGCTGAACCTCACCGTTTCGGCTAGGCACAGGCAACGACGTCCCATGTCCCTGAGAGCTCTGCGTCGTCTGCGTGCGATTCCCCAGACCATCTTCAAACCTTTTCGAGTTTAGTACAGGGGCCTTAATAACTAGAAGAGGGTTTTGGAGAATATTATACTATAATATTGGCAGATATTTCGGCCCCTATATTGGGGCTGGGACTTCAGTCGCCCAGAGTCCTCCGATCCCCAAAACATAGATGAATTTTCGCCAGTGGAGTGTGGCCAAGGACGTGGTCCATAATGATGTACGTGTCAAACGTTACAAGATTGGCTACAAAAAAGTCTCCACCACCATCAACTCCACATCAGATAAGACGGTGATCACGAAGGCATCTAGCATAGATACATGTCACCAGTGAAAGCCCGTTCCTTCATTGATCAGTTTTTATGGGTGAGACAATGTAAGCACGGACATCTTGTAGTCGGTAATCGGAACTACAATGGAGGGAATCCATGGTAAGGACTTGTCACGGGGGTTGGTGCATAGACGGAGCCTCCAACTACTCCTAACTTATCCGGGAACCTAAAACTGACATATGCAGAACTTCTGATCATTTGGGAATAGTAAACTGTTGCCCTAAAACCTGAACCCTTAATTAACCCTAAACCCTAAACCGGTGTAAGATTTTTTGGGGTCTGGACTTCGGGATTGAATACTTGGAGGATCAGGGGACTTAGTAAGTAAGGTTATAGGTACCCTAATTGGGGTCAAAAGGAATTGTAAGTATAGTTACCTTATTTATAACCCTAGTTACTAGGTCCCATGATCATTTAAGTAGATCCTAAACCCCCCTTATAGAACCCCGATACATCCCTTTAAATGGAGCCCTGTTACTAAGTCCCATGATCCTTTAAGTAGACCCTAAACCCTAAACCCCATAGATACCTTTCAGGAACCCTTATAGGGAACCCTATAGATCCCTTTAAGGCTACTAAGTCCCATGATCCTTTAAGTAGACCCTAAATCCTAAACCCCATAGATACCTTTAAGGAACCTTTAAGTATCGAAGGTGCGGAGCTCTCAGATCTGCCTGGCGCGGTTTGTAAAGCGAAGTCCCAGGTAGGCGACCACCCTCAGCACCGACCCCTGCAATACGAGAGCCAGCAGTCCGGACCAATACTGCGAATCCTGCAGGGGGTTTAGGGTTTAGGATTTTGGGGATTAGGGTTTCAGGCTCCAGGCTTTGGGGTTTAGGGTTTAGGGGGAGGGTTTAGGAGTTTAGGATAGCGGACAACCTTTAGCAGCCCTAGTTGCACGAGACCCTACAATCAAAAACCCTAAACCCCAACCCCTTGCAAGAACCGCAAGCCCCAAACTGCAAACTCTGGCACTTTCTTCTAGGCACTCCTCCTACCAACCCTAAACCCTACACCCTAAACCCCTATCAACTTCATGCAGACCCAGCCGTGCCTCGCAAGGAAGGAGAAAGTGTGCCCCATCGTATGCATCCTTGAACTTGGTGAGCTGGTAGCTGTCGATTTGAGACAAAGTCTCCGGATCAGGAGGATACTCCGTGACATATTCCTGAAGTCATGGGCAAAAATGACAAAAACTCAACATCCGGTCACATGCCTCGAGCTTTGGCTGCCGTAGTTGTGTTTTCATGCTGCACAACTGTTTCGTGGCAGCTGCCTTGGGGGGTGCTTTTTGCTAGGCCTTAGACACGGTCTTTGAGTCTTCGCCAACTTAGGTTGGAACCCCAAACCCTGAACCGCTAGGGTTTAGGGCTACAGGCCAAAAGTTGGAAACCCAATAGCCTCGATCCTTAAGACTAATGTATAAGGAAACCCAGCACTATTTGGCCTTAACTAGGTTTCCAACTTTATGGGGTTTACTGTAGGGGCCTACACCCCTGAATCCGACCGGTCTTCTCGAACCTCAGGATCACCTCTAGATCTGACTTCCTGATTTGGGTCTTCGTCGGGATTTCGACGGTTTCGAGCTCTCCCCTGGCAATGTAGGGGCCTAGATAATCTAGCTTTGGGTGTTCCTTATTAGGTAATTACAAGTATAGTTACCTTAATAATAACTCTAGTTACTAAGTCCCATGATCCTTTAAGTAGGGTTTTATATTTCCTTATTCTCATTTTAGTATAGTATACCCCCCACCCTATTCTAGTTATTAAAGCTCCTGCAGTAGTACAAGGCTCTGACTGACCTCCGACGTCTTGGGAAAGCGGCTTCAGGGGGTCCCTAAGAACCCGTATGGGGGATAGTTACCCAAACCCGAATTAAATAGTAATTTCGATTATAGAGCCATGTAGAACCCTACTTTCTCGTAATTTCTGCTGTATATAGAGACCCTGCTTTCTAGTTATGTAGGACCTTTTGGGAGCCTCACAAGCCTCGTCTGCGCTTCGTCGTTGAGAACGGCACTAGGCCGCAGGAAAATTCCTTCCCAGTCTTCGAGATTTGGGGTTTAGAGGTGTTTAGGGCCTAGGGTTCAGATAAAACCCTAAACCCTAATCCCTAACCCCTTATAGGGCTTAGGGACCCTCATTTAAATAGGGCTTAGAGCTTATAGGGCTTAGGGACCCTCGCGTGAATTGCCCGACGAGACACCAGGAAGCTCATGGATACGCTCCATCGAGTGAAGGAGATGCTGCTGACCACAATCCTCAGAAATCCAAGCAGAAGGGGGCACGGGCCAGCATGTAAGGGCTTACTTAGAGGATCATGGGACTTAGTAAGTAGGTTATAGTTGGGGTTATAAGCCCCCTAAGTGGGGTATCCAAGCAGAAGGGCACGGGTCAGGTAGGGTTTAGGGTGTACTTAACGGGTCATGAGACTTAGTACCTAGTGTTCTCTAAAGGGCTCCGTTTAAAAGGATTTACAGGGGTTCTATAAGGGGGGTTTAGGGTCTACTGAAAGGATCATAGGACTCAGTAACTAGAGTTATAAATAAGGTAACTATACTTATAACTACCTATAACCCCCCATTAGGGTACCTATAACCTTCCTTTCTAAGTCCCCTAATCCTCCAAGTAGGTTGTGGACAGTAAAACCCACGTGTACCGCTGGGATTCGCAGCTTCAGGATTTCTAGGGTTGCCATGCGATGAAACCCAGTGAATGGCTCGACGCAAAACCCAACGGATTCTGCGAGATGCTTGGAGGTTCATGGGACTTAGTAAGTATGGTCATAACTACCTTAAGTGGGGCTATAAGAAATTATAAGTATAGTTACCTGCTTTATAACCTTAGTTACTGAGTCCCACGACCTTTTCAGTAGACCCTAAACCCCCCTTATAGAACCCCTATAGATCCCTTTAAAAGGAGCCCTTTAGAGAACCCTAGTTACTAAGTCCCACGATCCTTTAGGTGAGCACGGGCACTCGAAAAAGCCGCCGTTCAGGAAGTCGGCCATCTGCATGGGGAGACCCAGGATGCCTCATAGGGTTACTTAGAGGATCATGGGACTTAGCAAGTAGGTTATAATTGGGGTTATAAGTCCCCTAAGTGGGGTTATCCTAATTATAACCTACTTATAACCTTACTTACTAAGTCCCATGAGCCTTCAAGTAGGGTTAGTTTTTTACACATGTTAGACCCAACCCTCCCACTGAGTCTCCTCTCGCTGAGGCATGCATTGGGTTTAGGGTTTAGGATCTTTTTTTTTCAGGGTTCAGGGCCTAGGGTTTAGGGTTTATGTAGTTTAGGTTAGGGCTTAGGGTTTTAGGGTTTAAGGTTTGAGGGTTTCGGGTTCAGGGTTCAGGGTTTAGGGTTGAGGGCTCCAGTCTCTTCGGGATGCTTCTCCCTGCTAGCTCATGCCAGATGCTTCTCAGCCTAAGAGACACTGCACCTATCTTTCCACCAATGCGAGTCTACATAAAAAGATGCGCGCACTCAAACGGAGCGGCGTATATATATATATATATATATATATAGATAGAAAGATATGAGAAGGTACATATACATGTGTATACGGACATTACATATATTTTTATATATAGGTACATAGGTACAGATACCCATCTGTCCATGTTTCTATGTGTCGATCTATCGACCGATCTATCTATCCATCTGTCTCTCTCTCTCTGTCTCCGTCTGTCCGTCTGTCTGTCCGTCTGTCCGTCCGTCCGTCCGTCTGTCAGGCTGTCTGTCTGTATATGTCTGCCTGTGTGACCATCTTACATCTCTGACCATAATTCTTCGACCGGGTCTTTGTACAAGGACTTAAGGTGGTAAAACTTGCGGCGTGGCCTGTACTATCGTAAAGCCCCGAACACTGAGTGCAGTTGCGAACCCATAAGCTACTCAAGCACCCCCGAAAGCGTTTAGGATTTAAAGACCTCCGTTCATCAAGGAAGACGGCAGCTTCTTCTCATTGCGACGCCTCCCATCATGAACATCAGGATAGAGCTGATGAAGGCACCAAGCTCCACGGGCAAGCAGCACCTCCACATTTCAAGCTTTGCTTGCGCACAACTGCACTCCAAGTACGAGCGGCACAACACTCAATTTCAATGAAATTGAGTTCCGGGGTGGGCAGGTGCCGGGTGCCGTGAACCTTGCAAACAAATCTCCGAACTCTCAGACCTACTTCATAACTTCTTGCAGCCACACCCTCCTGCCGAAGCGAATCCTCAGTCTCCAAACTTTCACACTTTCACAAACATAGACACTCTGAAACTCTCAGCTGAATATATTGCCGTAGCAATCGCCAAATCTGCAGCCGAGTCGCGAGAGCGCGTAGCCCCACCCAGAGGCCACATACGATACTAAGAAGAAGGGCCAGATGTACTCCTCAAATGCCTGGCGGTGTTTCGAGTTCAGTTTGGGGCTTCTTGGTGGCTCTGAGATGTACCGGACTTCTGGGTGTGAGAGCTCATGAGGGTTTGGGGGGGGGGGGGGGGGGGCTTTTTGAAGTCTTATAGTAATTCTCATCGTATCCTTTATAGAAACCTTATATATTCATAGGAAGCCTCTTCTAGTATATTTTATGGAAACTCGATTTCAGGATCGAAGGCCATGGCTTCAAGGGCCGCGGCGGTGGGCTTAGGATTTAGGGTTTAGGGTGGAATGTCGGTGGTTTCACCCAGGCCCAAGCTGTGAGGCCAAAACTGCCAGCGAAGCAAACCCGACCCTAAACCACACGAAACCCTAAGCTTTCAACCCTGAGCCCGCAACCCGTAAACTCTAGACTCTAACCCGTAAACCCAAACCCTGAATCCTCAGGTTGGGCTCAGGCTTCACAGAGTCTGACCTGAGTCTAATTTTTTCAACTATCCCCATCTGATGATGCCCCAGTCCCTGATGCCACAGCTTCTGATGTGGGGGTTGCTGAATATGAGGAATGCCTTCTTGGTTTCAAGATCCCCACTATGTAGGACTGTAGGACCTCTCTGCTGGGGTGCCCTGTTTTCTGGCAAATTCAAAACATCGACCAATCCGGATAGTTCATGGGGATGGTGTAAAAGATGTAGGGCTACAGAAACCGACACCATCAAGTTGAGCTGAGTTGCCAGAATCGGGCGTGCGATAGAGAAGTAGACCAGCAGAAAGAAGAAGGTCAGCAACAGCCAGTCGAAGGTGTTGACCTGGGACAGACTTCTCTCGACGCAGGCAGAGGTCTTTCCGCTGCAATGCTTAGGGTTTTGGGCAAAAGGAAACCGAGTGCTGACTGACGCTACTACTACTACTACTACTACTGCTACTGCTACTGCTACTACTACTACTACTACTACTGCGAACAGGTGCTAACGCTGTAGTGCCCATGGCTTCATGGCAATGTTCAACATCACGATCCCGACCATCATGATCACCGTCGTCTTCGTCATCCTCATCATCACCATCGCAACCACCCTCATCATCAGAAACATCTGTATCTTCATCAGCACCATCCAAAACCCTCCTTGTCGGGCATCATGGGGAACTGAAGGTTAATTAACTTTCTTGGCTATATAGGGATTCTATAGGGACTATACTACCCAGAAAAGGCTTACCTACTCTACTACTAGGGCCTAGGGATTTGTAGCATACCCTAAACATCCCTAAACCCTAAACCCTCATAACACGCCCCTAGGAAACCCTTCGAAAGCCACATCCCCTTCTATCGGCTCCCCAGCCACCAGCGCTCGCCCGGCGAAGAAGGCGAAACGGTTCAGCCCATGGCTTGCTTCCTGGGTTCTTAAGGGATTTAGTTTAAGCTACAAAAAATAAGGAAGCCATATTACGTACTATACATCCCTATTATGGTAACCTTCCTGGGTTTAGGGTTTAGGGTTTAGGGGTTTAAGGTTTAGCGTTTAGGGTTCAGCAGCTCCGGATCGAGCAGTTTCAAAGTAGAGTTGTGTTTACGGTTTAGAAATAACACCCACCCACCCTTAGAATCCCATAACCTTAAGAACATACAAAGTTTTACCTTCATTTACAGCTTAAAACTACTATCCACCGAACATTAGCATAACATGAACATCGTTAACTTGAACTAAACCAAGCTTGAAACTGTCGATGTCGATTTTTCACAGAGAAGATGCCGTCGACCTACTCATTTTATGAATATACATCAAAATCATACAGAAACTACACAACAGACACATGTTCTGCATTACCACTAAGCGAAACATTTCACAAGTTTTCGGTTCAACCATGGGTGGCGGCCCACCAACGGGTCTGGCCAGCTAAACTTTAAACCCTGAAAGTTGCTTTGTCTAGTTGGGGGTAGGGGGGTGTCTGGGGCGCGCGCTCGGGGGGGTCTGGCCAGCTAAACCCCGAAACTTGCCTTGTCCAGTTGGGGACATTAGAGTTTAAATTAACGTATGATAAAGAGGTTTAGGGTTCTTCTTAAGGGATTTAGTTTAAGCTACCATAACAAGGAAGCCATATTATTTACTATAGATCCCTATTATGGTAACCTTACTTAAAATCTTTAACCCCTAAACTGCCCTAAACCCTTATAAAACCCTTAAAGGAACCCTAAATCATGGTAACTTGAACCAAACTCCTTCACAAGAGCCCAGCTTCGCGCCAGTACATCTCCTGATCGTTGCTGAAGAGCCTGAGACTCGCCGTCAAGGCTCGCGTTTGGGTTTAGGGTTTAGGGATCTTCAGATGATGGAGTGGGGGACTACAGTGACTACGGGTTCAACTAGCACAGGGCCGGCCCTGGATGTATCACTAGTTACTTGTTGAATCTGAAACCGCTCCTCAGAGGAGTGATTCAACACAGTCTCGCATTATAGTCCCTCTACAAGTATGCTTCAACAGAACCCCATAATTATGATGATACTGATGATGATGGTGATGGTGAATTTGATGATGATGATGATGGCGATTATGATAGTACTAATGCTTCTCTCTACAACTTGTTGTTGTGATAGTGCTAGTGTTTTCGTTGCCAGCTTCAGGTGGGGCTCCTCACAGACACGAAAACTTGCAGATTGTATGGTTTAGGGTTCACGGTTTCAGGTTTTGGGATTTTGGAGGCTAAAGGGCTAAGGGCTTTTTGGTTTAGGTGTGAAAGTGTTCAGTCTAGGCGTTAGGCTTAAGGGTTAAGCCTCGCTAAAACGTTGCCTGTTTTGGGCTGCTGGCTGTGTGAGATTGCAACTGACAGCTTAGAAGTCTCGGCTCAGAAACCAGTGGTTTTGACATGTTTTGACCCTAAGCCCTAAACGCTTTGTCGACTTCAAGGTGCAGGTCCCTAAAGCCTGTCCGTCTTGATTTGATTCTGTCACCCGGAGCTGAAGCTACAGCACAACGGGATCTGCGGCTCTACTGCCACACCTCCTCGGAGCTCTTGAAGAATTTTGCTGATGTTTTATATTCCTTTATAGGGTCTTTTTGAATATGTTTGTCAACCGCCTTTATAGGGTTCCCGTTCAGGGGTCTGCTTGGAGGCTTTTTTCGCTTCTGTGAGCACCACGGCCTGTCTGTGTTGGAACGGATCCTCACTGGATCCTCACTTCTCAGCTGAGGATTCAGGGTTAAGGGTTTAGGGCTTAGGGGTGCAATATCAATGCCACACACTCAATAATTATCAGCAGCTTCCCTTCGGGATTCTTTAGGCTTCAATTTTGGCCTCAAGAGGTAGAACCAGTAGGGTTTGGGTGTAATTATACATTGGGCTTATGGACTTCGTAAGTAATCTACGATAGAAAACTCATACTCAGAGCCCGAACCACCGCAAGCCCTGCAAATCAAGCGCTAAAGCCCGAAACGGTGAACTTACCAGCCCTCAGCCCGAAACCCTAAACCTATACCCCCCTTAGAACCATAGTAAGAATACTGTTATAATTGATTGTACATATTCTCTTGGGTGTGATATAAAAAAATGAAACCGCTGCACCTCAAAACCCTTCGACCCAAAACCCCAAGCATCGAAGAACCGCACAAAAGCCTCAAAAGCCTCCTGCAAAGCAGTGCAACCAAGGCACTGCAAAGAGTAGACCGCAATCAGCAGGGCAAGAGCGATCCTTCAGCTACTCTTCAGGTTCGGGTCTGTGACTCGCGGCTTTTGAGACTGCGGGTTTACTTAACGGTTTTAAGGGGTCAGGATGGGCGATGGGGGAGCTTAATATAGGGGCCTTTGATAATTAGAATAGGGTTTAGCCATTATACTTTAATTATAGTAAGGAACCCCCGAAGTAGTATAGGTAATTGTTCAGGCCTCTATAGTAGGCTTAAAACATTGAGGGTGGCGGTGTAGAGCGAGCATCTTTTATGCAGCTGTGGGCTTCCGGCATCGTCTTTGGTGGCGGGGGTGCAGAATACCTATAGCCTCCACTGTAGTTCCTTTCTTTTGTTAACCAGTTTTATGGTTAGGATCCTATAATGGAGATTTTGGTTAACCAGAAAAGGAACTACCATGGAGACTATAATGCTAGGTTTGTTTGGGTGAGCCCAGGAATCCAGGAATAACAAGAACTCTCAACAAAGATGACCCGCAAAATTGCGTGGCTAAGACATATCCAAGCTTCTGCGCATTGAGGAAGGACGTGGCTGACCAGGGAGGCGAATCGAAAATGATAGCGTCCATGACCTGGGCGGTTCGACGAAGCACGAGCCTCCCACGCGACTCTCCCGCGACGTTCTGATGGGATTGAAAACCGTGCAAGGAAGCAAGCGGCACGGACGTAAGGCACCCTGAATGGACAGCATCCACACCAAAAGGGCTCTTGACAGGTTTCGCTTCACGTGACTGCTTGGCACTTGGACCTCTCACTCTCAAGGCAAGCGTCTTGGGCTTCCCACTAGCAGCACAAAGAAACTGAAGGTGAGAACTAAGAACCCGTCCCACTCGCCCATCGGGGTTGATGCCAGGCGCAACAGTTACCAACTATGACCACGACAGAGATATATGCTATAGGGGTAGGTCTCCACATTGGATCCCCAAAGTATCCATGTCTGCTATAGAATGTTGCAGAATACATCAGATCCTTCAGCACACATCGTACGATGCAACACGATACAATTCTGTACTGTGCTGTAAATGTAACGGAAGAACCGCAAAGGGCAGCATAGCAACTTGCGAAACAGCACGGTCGTTGACACGATACCTTTGACACCATGCCGTAAGATAGTCATCGGCGGCTACTGTAAACCGTACAACTTCGATGGGGGTAGATTTATGCACGGGTCCGCACACAAAATCATCTCTGCATGCCGGCATGAGTAGGTAAGAGGCTTTAGGAACCCACAGTAGTTGAGGGTGTACCCTAAGGCCCCAAAGTAGTTGCTTTTTGGGGTTCGTATATAGAATCCTATAAGGTAATCCCAAAAAGGAACTACTTTGGGGCCTACGGGTAAGGTGTTCTACCCACAGAACTTCGAAGCCGAATATTCCCAGACCTTCCAAAATCCCTTAATTAAGGAATATACCTTAAATCTTATTAGGGATCCTATTATAATTTAAGGTATATTCCTTAATTAAGGGATTTTGGAAGGTCTGGGTTCTATCCACCCAACAAAAGAGCCGATCCTGGCCACATCAACGCGACAAACCCATCAGCGTGGCAACGTACTACAACTGTAAGGTAAAAGCCAGAAAGTTGGAATGTGACTATCCTAAACCCTTTATGGTAAATTATAAGGTATCCTACCCTGAAACCATATTCCAACTTTCTGGAGTTCCCTGTACATATATCCGGAGTAACTCTTAAAGCTCCTACATTATACCGGGCCAGCGGCAGAGAGAAATGCTGCAGCAAAGCACATGACCCCCAGGAAGAAGATCTTAATGCCCATCGTGCGCCAGAAAGTGATCAGAGATGTTCCTGGTGCCGCTGCGGCAGCGAGACGCACAACTACTCTCCCTGTTGGATAGCTTAAAGTCGTCATTGTAGGACCTTGCCAAAAAATAGGTTTCCCGAATAAGGTCACTGCAATTCTGGGTTCAGGTAGATCGTTGGTCTGACTCCGTCCATCCGGAGCAGATTATCATCGTACTGAGATCTCTTCTGAAGAAGGTGCCATTCCTTTTGGTACATCGCTGTCTGACACGTTGCATATTGCGTTCTCCTATTGCGGACTATAATATCGTTGTCCTCAGCCTTGCCCAGTCTCGCAGACTGCATCGGGCGGCTGCGTATGCAAATGTGCTGAGCTTAAGTGTGCAGTCAATGCCAGCATGCTGCAATGCTACTCCACATTGTATTCCATATCAGCAACACGTCACACGAAAATGCTTTTTGTTGCGCGTGCGAGTCTGCATGTGTGATTTTCTCCTCCAGCTCAACAACTTCTGCACTGGTGCACCATACTGGGACTGTCCGGGTCGGCTATATAAACAAACCGGCGACGCAACGACATTGAGCATTTCTAGTGGCCTCAGTAGCAAAACATTATAGTATCATAGAAACCATAACAGTATCCATAGCAACGACCTTCTATTGGTAACCATTATCGTAACTTTAATGTCTAAACCCTAAGCCATAAACTAGACTAAACCATACTCGTATCGATCCAGCAGCGCAGGGTGTAGCGGAAGTGGCTGCAGCAGCCCGGCATCGTTCGCTTCAAGTCGGTGCTAACCTGCTGCAAGCATCAAGGTTTAGGGCTAGGGCTTAGGGCTGTAAGGCCTGGCGAAGACTTCATGACGGTTGCAGCTGTAAGGGAATGCCTTGACGAACTATTCCGACCCCAAAATTAAAATGGCTGCGAGGCGTTGAGGTAAGATTTTCGAGCTCTTTGCATGATCAGGCTTCTCTTAGCAAGTTATATGCGGGTTCGTCAGTACGGCAATCTCAACTCAGCTCACTTCTACTCCCCATCCTACTCTGCAGTGACCCTAAACCCTAAACCCTGAACCCTAAACCCTTACCAAGCGGCCAGCGTGGTAGTAGTAGAAGACATGGGCAGGTTCAGGTCTTGATCGCTCGCCTGCTGATTCATAGGGACCCTTAGGGGTGTAGGGGGGAGGGTGTAGGGGACTAGATTTCCTTAAATAGGCCTTATTAGTCCTTATTATGGGCATTAAGGCCCCCTACCCCCCCTCCCCTACACCCCTAAGGGTCCCTATGACTGATGGACTTTAGACTGGAGGGATCGATTTAGTCTGCAGTTTAGGTCTTGGCTCCGGAGATTCGGATGTCCCGGGTCGGTTTCGAAGTTTGGTATCCTGGTTGCGGCACGCAACCTTTCAGAAAGTCCTGTCTAAAGAACCTCTTGTCATGGTGATTGCAACGCTAGTCGCGGCAATAATTGTGGCATGCGGTGCTGCTGCCGACGATAAACGGGGTATTGATGTTGATTCGGACGGTGATGATTGTCTTCTTCGTGCCGACAGAAAACGTCGGTGATGCTGATTGTGATAATGGCGATGCTGAACATGAGAATGCTCGCAGTGATCGCAATCCTGGTGACTGACTCTGCTGGTGGATCCTGCATTGTGGCAGCGTTGCTGATGGTTGTGGTCGTAGTGGCGGTGGTGGTGATCTGCGACGACCGGCAAGTGATGGCGATGATGATGGTGATGATGACGCTGGTGATGATGACGATGATGATGAAAATGATGATAGTGATGATTATGACTATTCTGGCTGCTGCTTCGAAGTGTCGCCTCGGTTGAACGATTCGCTACAAGTCCGCCGATCAAATCCTTGAAGATAGGGCCCCAAAAAAGCACTTAAGCAAAAAAAATGGATAGTGATATCCCGTATAAACCCCTTCATGATGAAGCCCAATAAGGCAGGGATATCCCCATAAAATGCATGTGCTTATGTGCTTGTAGGGTCCCTAAGAAGAACATAGCCTCCGGTGCCTGGCCCGTACTTGAGTCGGAATCGCTCGATTCATCCACGGTCTCATCTGATGACTCCTTCATGGGTTTAGGGTTTAGGGTTTAGGAAAGGAATCACGGCTTGCTGGCGTTCATGGTGCTTTGTGTCGGTTTTGGTTTCCGGGGTTAGCTTTGCAAATGCTGATTGCAAGCCGTCAACCACTGAGCTGTCGCTCCACATCTTGAGAGTTTGCGCCGTACACTTGTAACACTGATAGCCGTAGAGGCCAAGACGGTGACACTTAGATCAACATCTGGATAGAACGACCCAGGTTCTACGGCCTAGCCTACGACATTTACACGTGGGACTCGGCTGTGGTGGCTCTGCTTGTGTCCACGTCAGCGAGAAGACGACAGCTTGCAACCACAGTATCGGCTTGCCGCCTTCTTTTGTGTTTCGCTTCTCGAACCCAGCGAGTAGCATCGGGCCCGACAGCATTAAGATTTTTTTCGTTGTGAACATACACGTGGGGCTTGATGCTGTTGTTGTACGTATATCTATCCACAGCATTAGCCTGTGGCGGATGGTTTCGTGTCACCGTGTCGCACTCGCCAACACCCTTTGTGAAGCCCATCCTCCGGGAAGACCTTGGGCCAAGCATTTCACCATCAATTGCTGTTGTCGTCGTGGGGAGGGGGGTGGGGCAGCAGTCAGGGTTGCAGCACTAGCTCCAGTAACAGTAAACGTTCCAGTAGCAGCAGAAGTAGCTGTAGTAGTTGCTGTTGTCGGCGTCGTCATCGTTATGGCAGTAGCAGTAGCAGTAGCAGTAGGAGTAGTAGTAGTAGTAGCAGTAGTAGTAGTAGTAGTAGTAGCAGTAGTAGCAGTAGTAGCAGTAGTAGCAGTAGTTGTAGTAGTTGTCGCAGCAGCAGGACTGGAAGCAGCTGCATGATGCAGCGAGAGTAGTAGCAGGCGGCGAGACGAGTAGCAGCAGTAGCAGAAAAAAATTAGGACGACAACAGTCCCGGTGCAACAGTGACCTCGAACAGCGACGAAAGCTATGTAAGCAAAGCGCTTCAAAAGCCTGGTCCTCCATGCCCTGCAACGGAGCGGACATGCCGGACAACCCAGCGAGACTGCCAAGACGGATGTCCTGCCACGGAGGATCAGTCGCAAGTCAGGTTGTCGTGTCGTGTTTTGTACATTTGTTATTGGGCTCCTCCTCTCGAAACCACGCGACTAGCTATGATGCCCGACTAGCTATGATGGCGGTCTCACAAGTCGCGGATCTCTAACTCTGTAATTAGTTGGTGTTGTTGCTGCTGCTGCTTCTGGTGTTGCTGTTGTTGTCCTTCCTAGGTGATATGCCGGTCAGGGGCAACTTGGACTTCTATGAGTTTAGCAACTTATCAAAGGTACGCCGCCAACGGCAACGACAGTGCAACTACTGTTACGCCAGGTACTGCAGTACTACTACTGCTGCTTCTAATAATACTACCACTAGCACTACAGCTACTACTACTACTACTACTACTACTACTACTACTACTACTACGACGACTACTACTACTGTTACTTCTACCACCACCACCGTCACCACAACCATTACCACGACGATGACGACACTACTGCTACTGCTACTGCTACCGCTACTGCTACCGCTACTAGTAGTAGTAGTAGTAGTAGTAGTAGTAGTAGTAGTAGTAGTAGTAGTAGTAGTAGTAGTAGTAGTACGCGCTTTGCGTGTATTTGACGCTGTGTTTTTTGGTGCATGCATGTCCGAAACACACGGCAGGGACGTCATTTCCGCATGCGCATGTCGTTGTGAGCCGAGCGCCCTGGATCGTGGGTTTTATCGGCTCTATCACCGTGATGATGATGTTGATGGCGACAATGAATTTGACGGTTTTGAATGTTACTGTTATGATGATGATGTCAAACATGCTCGCGATTAGCCCCCCCCCCAGGTCAATGATGATGTTGATGAGTAAGATGATGTTGATGAGTATGATGATGATGATGACTGTATTTTAGGTCGTTCTGGCGCTCGGGTCTGCATGGTCCTTCTTTAAAGAGATAAAAACGAATAACCACGGAAATGCTGTAAATACCAGTATATCTAGGCCCTGAGTATGATGATGTTGATGAGTATGATGATGATGATGAAGATTTTGAGTGTTGCTGGTGTTATGATGATGATGAGTATGATGATATTGTCTATCACCGTGATGATGATGTTGATGGCGACAATGAATTTGACGGTTTTGAATGTTACTGTTATGATGATGATGTCAAACATGCTCGCGATTAGCCCCCCCCCACCCCCCCCCCCAGGTCAATGATGATGTTGATGAGTAAGATGATGTTGATGAGTATGATGATGATGATGACTGTATTTTAGGTCGTTCTGGCGCTCGGGTCTGCATGGTCCTTCTTTAAAGAGATAAAAACGAATAACCACGGAAATGCTATAAATACCAGTATATCTAGGCCCTGAGTAAGATGATGTTGATGAGTATGATGATGATGATGATGACTGTATTTTAGGTCGTTCTGGCGCTCGGGTCTGCATGGTCCTTCTTTAAAGAGATAAAAACGAATAACCACGGAAATGCTGTAAATACCAGTATATCTAGGCCCTGAGTATGATGATGTTGATGAGTATGATGATGATGATGATGACTGTATTTTAGGTCGTTCTGGCGCTCGGGTCTGCATGGTCCTTCTTTAAAGAGATAAAAACGAATAACCACGGAAATGCTGTAAATACCAGTATATCTAGGCCCTGAAACCAAGTCGCAGATGTCCCAAAAGCAGGAAAAGCATGGCGTCAAATACACGCAAAACGGGTAGTAGTAGTAGTAGTAGTGGTAGTAGTAGTAGTAGTACTACTACTACTACCACTACTACGACTACTACTACTACTACTACTACTACTACTGCTGCTACGACAACTACCACTACTACTACTACTACTACTACTACTACTACTACTACTACTACTACTACTACTACTACTACTACTACTACGACTACTAACACTACTACTACTACTACTACTACTACTACTACTACTACTACTACTACTACTACTACTACTACTACTACTACTACTACTACGACGACTACCACTACTGCTACTGCTACTGCTACTGCCACTCCTACTTCTGCTACCACTGCTACTACGGTTGACAACTACTGACTACTGCTACTACAACTTCTAGTTTCACTACGACTACCCCTAAACCCAGAGGGACCACCAACTTCCCGAATTCCTCCTCACCCCAACATGCATTGTTCCCCAAAGCACGAAGCAATCGTCAATCCACTATATAATATGGACGGCTTATATAATAGATCATTTAGACAGTTGTATAAGGCCTTGGGGCATAGTATATGATGGCAACGGGATCTAGAAGGAATACTGCTACTCATCATTCCGACCCCTACATGATCACCCAAGAAATGCTTCGAGTCTTGGCTGCGTCCTCGCGCTCGACTCCACGGAAGCCTTCGTGAACCCCCCGCGAGGTTTATTCTGGTCAGGAATCGGGCTCGGGGCGGGGGGCTCGGGGTGTTCTGTTCGGTCAAAGCTTGCGTCTCGGGCTAGGGATTCAGTTCAATCGCACTTGGTTGCATGCGTTTGTCGCGGGCCAGGTCTGTGTTGAAAGTTGGGGCATGCCTTCAGCACAGCTGCGGGTTTGTCGCTAGGTCGGTTTCAGAAGCATGGATGCAGGCACCTCTAAACCCTAACCAGGAACATCAGAAAATGTCTGTCCACAAGGGAGCCGAGCCCACCAAGATGCTGTGAACAGGGTCTACAGGGAACTCCAGAAAGTTGGAATATGGTTTCAGGGTAGGATGCCTTATAATTTACCATAAAGGGCTTAGGATAATCATATTCCAAATTTTCTGGCTTTTACTTTAGGGCCTAGGGCTTTGGATGACAGTTTTCTAGCTTGAAAATCTTGAATCTTGCGTCCGCGGAACATAGCCGAAACCAAGGAAGCCTCGTTTTGTAAGGCCTCTCCACTGGACTCTACCGTCAAGCTACAGAAGTTGGTGCAGTGGGCTGCAGATCTCGGGGCAATCTGAAGCTTCAAAGGCTGGCCAAACGATTTCAGGATCGACGATAGTACCCTAAACCCTGAACCCTAAGATCTTATAAACCCCTAAAGCCCTAAACCCCAAAACCGAAAAACCTTAAGCACCATAAAAACCCTCAACACCCCAGAACCCGAAAAGCCCTAAACCCTAAACCCCTAATACACCCTATAAAGGCTTAGGAGTGAGCGTGAAAAGAACAGCCCAGGAGCTGAGAAGGTAGGTGACGAAAGCCCGGAGAGTGATGTAGGATGCAGACCTTCCAGCGCGACAAGGAGAACGGCTTAGGGTTTAGAGTTTAGAGTTTAGGGGTTTAGGGTTTAGGGTTTAGGGGTTTAGGGTTTAGGGTTCAGGGTTTAGGGGTGTAGGGTTTAGGGCTTAGGGTTCAGAGTTTAGGGCTGCGTGGTGTAGAGTTTAGGGACAAGGGCCATGGCTTCCCAGTGGTGGAAGCCAAATTGACAAGGGTTCGGGTTTGGGGGCTGAGGCTTGGGGCTTGCAGTGCGAATGTAAGGCATATCACTGAATGAAGGGGCATTAGTCTCTCTAGGTCCGGCCCTGTCACTGAACCCGCCAGGGCCGTCATCCAGACGGCTGAATGGCTTTAACCATCGGGGAAAATCTGATACATACCCTCAACAGCAGTGTCCTTGTTGCAAGTATGTGAGTGTCCAGTTCGAGAGTTAAGAATAAGGGGTTCATTAGGCTTTGGAGTGGTTAATGGCTGCCCTTGAGCGTTCAGAGTTCGGGGTTTGCATACTTTGGGCATGTGGTTGTAGGCTAGTGAATTTAAGGTTCAAGCTGTAGAACAGTTTAGGGTCGTAGGGACTGGCTTGTAGAAGTCGAAAGGGTTTAGAACATAGGCTTTAGTGAGGGAGTCTGCATTATGGGACTTACTGGTTGGGATTTGGGGTGCTGGCATGGGTCGAGTCAAACCCTGACCGCTGCCTCTCACCAGCTTGGTCGCTGCTTCGGCCACCAAACCTCCAGGTCAGGCAAGCTTGCTTTTCTTGTGCTTTCCTTTCCGTTTGAGGCTCGTTTGACCATGTGCCTCTTTGAGGGTTTGAGTTGGGTTACAGAGGAGAAATCCTCAGCTCTTTTCGAGGACGCTTCGTGCGAAGATGGCTGTTTCGAAGCGCTGCCCTCCTTCTCAGAGCCGAAACGGCTGATGATATAAATCCTGCATTACCTTATAATGACCCTAGACTATATAAAGGAATTAATTATGGCATATTCATTGTCATGGGTATTGCAGGATTTATATCATCAACCGAAGGACCATGACAGGGCCGTCGTGGGCTGGGCTGGGGTCGCAATATCTAGCGTTCGCAGTGAGCTTTTGTAGCCAAAACCTCTCTTTGATGCATGACGCTGCATATGTACATGCATGTCTATATCTATATCTATATCTATACCTATCTCTATATATATGTATAATGTATACACACATATACTCGCTCCACTCACAATAAAAGCGTGTACCCGCTGCACTCGCTAGCCGAACGATCCACGGAGCATCCAGTTCCAGCACTTCGCGGATATGAGCTCAGGAACAACTAACCAGTGGTTATGGGGTTCCCTTAGCTCTTTAGCTCCTTATTTAATAGGGATTATCATCATCCCTGGCTCCTTAGCTCCCATAATATCAATTGTTAGACAACGCGTGGCGATGCGATTCTGGGATCGTAGGCTCAGGCTGCAAGGATAGACTGTTTTCAGGACAAGCTGACAAGCTGAGACTGGTGGCTCGAACTTGATGGACAGAAACAGCAGGGATGTCACTCTAACTCGCTCGCTTTATCTCTCCCTCTCTCTCCCTCTCTCTCTCCCTCCCCCCCCTCTCCCTCTCTCTCTCTCTCTCTCTCTCTCTCTCTCTCTCTCTCTCTCTCTCTCTCTCTCTCTTTCTCTCTCTCTCTCTCTCTCTGCAGCCGAGAAACAAGAAAGTGTTGGAAGGAATGCCCAGCGTACTCTCACCACGCACATCGTATGTCGACGCTCGATACATAATCTCCGTGACAATCTCCTCAGCACTTGCAGTTGGCGATCGCGAGGGGAGAAAAAATTGCAGCCGCTGAATTTCAGTGGATCGACATGAAGCTGAGTGCAAGTGAAACTTTAGACGGAAGCCCTATAAATTACTTCAGTTTATCGATGCTGAGTCAACTAATACCAACTGTGAAGATTGTGGGATTGTACTGTAACACTTACTGGCGATAACGACGAAGTGCCCATAGAAATCAACAAAATGCTGAAGTGATTGATGAACGAAATATGATGACGGCGGCTGTACTGGACGGTCATGAGGTGTATGGTGATGAACAGCTGGCCTGCGATGGCCATATCATGGTCTAGGGTTTAGGGTTTATGGCTGTGCATCTTGCCATTATTACTGCCATCCCATTTTGCTGGCTACTCTGCTGACCCTCTACCAGTTTTCGTACAATGGCTGGGGCAACGTCATTCGAAGCCCCCTGCAAGTTAGCCAGGACAGGACCGTCTCAGCATTTCAGAACTCCGCTTCGGCGCTGGCCGACGATGACCGATTCCGGTCCAACACTATAGACTGTAGCCGTACTTTAACTGCAACCAACAGATACCAATGTGGCTAGCGAAGCCGTTCTCACACTGGGAATGGGTTCATGATGTGAGGTAGAAAAGTCGGGAAGGAACAGCAGAAGCGACAACTACAACAGCAGCAGTAGCAGCAACAGCAAGAAGGACCACAACAAAAACTTACACTTGGCATATTCATCACATCATCCCCTGTGTGAGAGTTCATGTCGGGTATCCTGGTAACAGCAGTGACACTCTGAGTGGACATAACTTCAGACTTTAGAGACGTTAAGGTATGTAAATATGTGTATATATAATATATATATATATATATATCCTCTAGATGCCTGCTGTACCAGCTGCAACAAACAGACCTTCCCGCTTTGCAACCGCAACTCGAAACCCCCACGTCAACCGTGCTTGCTTGGAGGATCATGGGACTTAGTAAGTAGGGTTATAAGTACCTTAAGTGGGGTTATAAGTATAGTTACCCTACTTATAACCCCAGCTACTAAGCCCCATGATCCTTTAAGTGTAGAAAAGAGCTCTCGAAGGCCTGCCTCGTGAAAGCTGCGCTTTTACTTGGCCCCAGTCTCCTGTAGTACGGTTGATGACATAAATCCTGCATTACCCATAATCAGGCATATACCATAATTCCCATAGTTTAGGGTCCTTAAGGTAATGCAGGATTTATACCATCAACCGTAGGAAGCTGATTATTACAACACGGAGGTATGTTGTCAGCAAAGAGCGAAGCATTGCAACCAGTTGAAAAATCCAACAGCCTGCTTCATTCCATCTTTCTGGCGACTGAGCTTCTTCGTCCGGCGTGGCCCCGGTGCATGCCCTGAGAACCTTGAGCTTTGGCAGCTTGGGGCGATGGCATTCGGGCGACATGACAAAAACACAGACTGTCCATGACATCTACCATCCACGTGAGGTGGTTGTCAAAATTAGGGTACTTTTTTGGGTCCTTATTATAATACGGCACCTAATATTTGGGGTGCCCAAAAAGGGACCATATTCTTGACAAACATCCACGTGAGGTGATCTTAGGGGCTGGGTATGCTAGGTCAGCCGGCTTTTCAATTATGGTAGGCTTATACAAACCCCAAAAGGTTAACGGTTACCTACTCAGCTACTAGTAAGCAATACCAGAGATATGTTCTACTATAAACTCCATAATTAGTTACCTTTCTTGGGTTAAGAGACTATATGTAGAGATTTACAGAGAGCTGCTTCAAGTCTACAGCACTCGGGAGCAACACTGAGAGTCGAGGTCAGGCTGACCGAAGGCCGGTAAGGAGGATCCCAAAACCCGTCTTAGTCGTAGCCCTATGGAGGGTTTAGGGTTTCAGCTTTTGGGTTTAGAGTTTAGACTTTAGGGTTTAGGTCTTAGGCTTTTGGGTTTAGAGTTTAGGCCTTAGGGTTAGATGGGGGATCTAAAGCTGCAGCCCTGAAGGGAGCCGGCGCCTTGGCAAAGTCTTCCGCATCCAACCTTGGCGAGAAATGGGAGTTTCCGAAAACTAGGGGTACCTTATCATGGGGTCCTTTTAATAAGGATCCTACTGTTTAAGGTATTACATTAGGGTCCCCTATTTTCGGAAACTCCCCTATCGAGAAACAAAGATCCTCAGGGGCAAAACTTGCGCTTGAGGCTAAACAGTCGTGCTAGTAGCAGCAGCAGCAGAAGTAGCAGCAGTGGTCGTGGTACATAGCAACAGTACTTGTACATGTTGCAGTCGTAGTCGTTGTCATAGTACGTAGTAGTAGTAGTAGTAGCAGCAGTAGCACTATTGGTACTCGAGTTCTCGCAGTTGTCATCGTTCTCGGCGTCGTCGTCGCTTCGCTGTCGCCGTAGTCATCGCTGTCGTCATCGTCATCACCGTCGTACCTAATCACAGCTGTCATCATCATCGCGGTTGTGATGGTGGTGCACGCGGTGGTACCTGGCAGTAGTGAAGCAACGAGCATGACTCACTAGCAGTCACTAGCAGCAGTCCTTCGAGTTTTTTGCCGAAGCAGAGCCGGGAGCAACAGTACCAGTATGTTGCTGCTGCAGTGGGAGTTGCGGTAGCTGCAGCAGCAGAAGCACTGGCAGCATTACTGTCAGCAGTGCTGCATGTGAGCACAAGCGCCGTAGTAGCAGGAGGAAGAAACGGGACAGAAGAGGAACAACATCTACGAATCTGCGAGTCTGCTCTGTTTCTTGGTCTTCGTCTTCGGTCTATCACGAACTTCCTTCATGAGACGGGCTTGGCCTAGGATTGAGAAGATGCTAAGTGGGAATAAGCTGCAAAAATCTTACAGATTTCGGGGTTCGATGTTCTCATGTGCTTGGCTACGGCTACGTACACAAGTCGCTTCGATGGTGGTTGCCCGGCCCTACACCCTACACCCCAACCCCAAACCGTGAGAGGGCTTTCACACTAGAGCCCGCTCTTCAAGCTAAGGAGACCTCAAAGATTTCAGACGCCTCCACGTGGCCAACGCAGCTTCATCTTCGGGTTAGGATCGCCCTCTACTTAAAGGATCATGTGACTTAGTAACTGGGGTTATAATTAGGGTAACTATACTTATAACCCCACTTAAGCTACTCATAACCTTACTTACTAAGTCCCATGATCCTCCAAGCAGTGACCGATCCGATGGCTTGCATGGTCTGGGGACTGCTGAGTCTAGGCGGCATGCTCGACATCACCACTATGAAAACAGAAATTTAGCCAAAAGCCTTCACCGCAAGCCTAGCATCCAAAACCGGCCCCGCGCGCAGACTGAAGGGCCCTACCAAAATAAAATCTGATCTCCATGCCATAGATGGATGCATATTGAATTACAGTCAAACTTCAACCAGAATAGGGACCATAAGGGTATAAATGTGACAAACTATTCGGCTCTGATTCCGCACTGGTTAATCCCAAATCTGAAAGACTCCCCCAAAAGTGAACAAGCGACCCAGGGGGCTGGGGGCTTAGGGTTTAGGGCTACTTAAAGGATCGGGGGACTTAGTACTTAAGGTTATAAGTACCCTAATGAAGGTTATAAGCAATTAAAAGTACAGGTACCTTATGTATAACCCTAGTTACTAAGTCCCATGATCCTTTAAGTAGGGTTTAGGGTTTAGGGTTGAGGGTTTAGGGTGTCGGGGCTGCCACCGAGGAGCTTAGAGTGCCCGGGCGCCACTTCAGACCAACATTCCTGCAACCGACTAAAGGGTCCTTTTGGGAGGATCCTTAGGGAACCTTACTTGGAGGTCGGGGGACCTAGTAACTGGTTATTTTAAGGACCTATAAGTACCATAACCCTAATTACGGTCCCTTTAGGGTACTTTTAAGTCTACTTACTACCTACTTACTAAGTCCCTCGACCCTCCAAGTAGGGAGCATAAGGATGCTATAAACCAACCCCTTCACTCTAGAGGGCTTTTATGCGGCTTTCTGCGACTCTTGACTCATGAACCTCTTATCCTTTCGGAACAAGGGTAAGCCTTGTCTAACCCTGATTCTCAACTGAGAGGGCAATTCTACTCATGGTCCATACAAGTTGTCAAATCCGGAACTTTCTATCAAATCCGGCTCAGAGGTTTGAATAATCATGCTTTCGTTGCATAAAGGGTGAACATTCTTTACACTCTGGAAGAACTTGGGGACCAGTCGCAGTCAAGGGGTACCAGACGGTGTGGGAATGCTTGAGCTTCTCCAGGCCGACCGAGAGCAGGAGATTACATGAATACCTCGTGCCTGGTGCCCCGCTGTAGGTCCCCAAAACAGCACAGCACCCTTTGGAAAAGGACCCCAAAAGTAAAAAAAGGCCTTGGCGAAAGCACAGGAGTCCACATGGCCCTGAACCGTTAACCACTACCCAGTAAATCCTAGTCCCGAAGGTAGGGACCTTGAGTATTGGGGGTGCCTGATTATGAATAGAGTATAATCTACCCCCAAACCCCCAACATTAAACCCTTGAGCCATGAAGTCTTCGAGCTTTGAACCTGGCAGCCTGGATTTCCACGTCAGATGGCGACTGAGACTGTCTGATGACGGGTTTTGAAAGGCCTAGATGTAGGGGCATTAATCATCGGAATAACAACCGAAGGTATGTTGCCCAACGACGGAGTAACAGGTTTATTTCGAGCTCAAGGGTTCAGGGTCGTGGCTATAGCAGGTTTCGGAACTTTACGTTGAGTGTGTCATGCTTGCAGTCCCGGGCCTTGCAATGTTGCTTGATGATCTCGACCTCCGCGGAAGTGTCGCCCGACGCTGCACGCACATACCTGGCAGAGGCAATTTCTTCAAAGGTCAGGGGCAAGTTGCGCGCGAAGAGTTTAACTGTAGCTGCCTGTAGCTGCTCCAAATGAGCATGGAGTCGACAGTCTTCGAGAAAAGAGCCTACATGTTCTCTCCCAGCGAATTAGAGGCCTTGTGTAACAAAGACCGCTTGCAATGCAGCACCTGTGGAGCTACGAGTTCTGTGCCTGATAAAACTTCGGCTTACCAATGCGATCAATCTCATGATGGTGATGTAAACGGCTTAGGGTTTATGACTTTAGGTTTAGGGTTTCGGGAGGAGGATGGAGGATGATACACACGGTTAGGATAGTCTGTGGTGATAGCAAGAGCAACACCTTGCAGAAGGGCGGCGAATCCTCGTCGTCGTAGTGGTAGGTAGAAGTGGGAGCAGCGGCGGTAGTAGTAGTACTGACAATAGCATGCCTGGCTAGCAATCCCACTAATGGAAGTAGACCTGCTCTTCATCATCACGTTGCTTGATGTTCTACGTGATTGAGACCCGACTAAATACAGTTCACTCCGGGTCACTACCATGGCTACCCACTTACGCTGCTCGGTACGCTTGCTGTGTCGCAGCAGGCGTGAAATCAACCGCCTTCATAGAGCCAAAGAACTATGACATGAACATGAACCGAAACAGGTCGTAAGACGATGGTTTGGGGGTATACACGTTCAGGAACCCTAAGGCACAGCAAGTAAAAGCATGGGGTATTCTCCGACCCCCGGATTACGGGATACAAAAGGACATTGCTTTGGGTTTGGGTTTAGGGTTGAGGGTTTAGGGTTTAGGGTTTAGGGTGGGAGGTAAGGCGCCCGAAACGCTTTGACTCCGTTGCTCTGGACAGGGCTTTGGGTGTGGGGTTTAGGGATTGGGATTTCGGCCTTAGGGCTTGGGGCTTAGGGTTTATGATTTAGGGTTTAGGGTTTAGGGTTTATGATTTAGGGTTTGGGGTTTAGGGTTTAGGTTTTAGGGTTTGGAGTTTAGGGTTTAGGGTCTGATTCGAGTCATTCTAATGAGTCTACTGTATGTACTACAGGTACTTCGGAGGCAGGCGCCGAGAGCTACAATCGGGACCTTCAAACCCTCGCAAAGACGCCGAAATTGAAATCTTCAGGCGTTCCTGACTTCAGAGCACATCTCCCCACAACCGCCAAAGCCAATCCGGACAGGAACCCTCAGCCTTTTCACAGTGGTCGAATGGAACCACCCTTGCGAAAAGTGACCTCCCCCTGACCAGGCTTAATTCCTGTAACTCCACATCCCACGGTTTCTGACAATGCCAAGAAAAAACCCAACGGCATCCTGTAAGCCAGCCGTGCAGCTGCAGAAGTAACAACAGCAGCCGTAGCAGGAGGGGCAGGAGTACGGAGTACTGACAGGAGTAAGAGGCCTGAAGTGAGGAGTCAGGAACAAGGAGCAATCCCTAAACCCTGAACCCTAAGGAGTGGCAGCAGGAAGAGGAGGAGTAGAAGAGTGGAGAGAAATTGCAGGCCTCCTGGGCGGCGCCTCGCCTTCAGGGGTGGGGGAGTCCTGCCATTTCCTGAGTTCAGGGCTTAGGGTTTGCGGTTTAGGGCCATGTGCTTTAGATCCCACACTTTGGGTTGTTTTTGATGTTGGCGTCTTGGCTTGACGTCGCCTGGATTGTAAGGGATTCCGAGTTTAGGGCTTATGGGATCGCACTCCGTGCTTACACGGGTTTCTGTGCTAATTATACAGTATAGCCTGGAAGGCTCATAGCGGCTAACCTATCGATCGGTTTGACGTGCTTGAACGAGCTTGTGGTATCTGAAGGGTCTTAGGCGTAGTATGGTTCTTTGTTGCCGTGCCGTTGTCTTACTTGCGGGGAGGGGGGTGGGGACTTCGCAGGATTTGTTTAGGATTTGAAGGCCGTTGGCAGCGCTTGGATTTTCCCCCTGGTTTCTCCTGAGCGGAAGGGGAGATTATTTCAAGGCTCAGTCAAGCCCAGGCAGTGATGGGGGGTGTGTAGTGGCATCGTTCCAGGCAAAAATGAAGCTCGAGGGTGAAAAACCTTCAACCCCTTCACTCGGGTTTTGGGCGGGCCTAAATTGTATGACAGTACAGTTATTGTGGTAATTACTCTGCCCTCTATATGGGTGGTTGTCAAAATTATGGCTCCACCACCCATACGAGTTTGCCCTTGAACTTAAAACATAAACCCTAAACCCAAACTGGGATCAGGAACCAGTGGCTTGAACAAGGCCGCTGGAAGGTCAGAGACTGGGATGCCTTGGTTCGTGCAGGGTTTAGGGTTCTTTCAGGGTTTAGGGTTTTGGGGGTGAGAGATTTGGGGTTAGGGCTAGGAGGGTTTAGGGTTAGGGGCTTGGAGCTCAGGGCTTGGAACTTGGGGTTCAGGGTTTTGGGCTTCGGGCTTTGAGGAGCTCATAGGGATCGATCGGGTGTGCGACGGAAATCTTAGGATCCCTTCCTCTTCGGATCCGAACTAGCAGTCCGAGTTGTCTAACCGTTGAGATGTAGGATGGAGCCGCATGATTTCCAAGACCACAGAAGAAGTAAAGCCCGTGAACATGGAATCTGGCTGGTGGGCTCGGTGGCATGTGGCGTTCTCCAGCAGGAAACTATTTTCTTGCAAAATAGAACCGAAGAGTATGACTTAAGCAAGTCTGCGATGCACACACGGCCTTCAGTTTGTGGTCCTCTGGCGTTGGTGTCCAAGGCTTGTGCTTCTGCGATGCAGCTCCACTACTAGCGCAACGAGGACTACTACTCTAGGACTGCTACTCTTCCCACTACTACTCTAGGACGACTACTCTACCCACTGCTAGCTAATACCTGCTTAGTTGCTTTACCTGCTGGTAGAGTCGGCAGTGCCACCATTGACTGTTGCTACATGTCTCACTGTCGTCAAGGTGTCGCCACTTGAAGTATTGATCGGTTTCTGGTGCTGCGTCAGCGTATATACCGGTATTCCTCAACAATACAACCTGTCAGTAGTACCTAATGGCAGCTCCCTTTACTCTAGATTGCCTTTATGGTTATCAGTGCGATGTTGAAACTGCCATAGCGTCATTTAAACGACTACTAAGACTAAGACTGCCGGTGCTACTGCTACTGGTAAAATTGCCCATGTAGCTGTAGGAGAACCACTTTGGCTGCTGCCAGCACAGTTCTTAAGATTTTGGTGTTGTCGACGAGACGCTGAACAAACGAAACTGAAACCAACATCAACACCTCAGGTCAACACTGCGCACCTGGCCCTCCAAATCGACTTTTTCAAGAATCAACTTTCCGAAAAGTAGGTGCCGCACGGAGGTCAACAGTTGAAGGACACCACATGTGGGTGGTTGTCAAAATTATGGTCCCTTTTTGGGTCCCTATTATAATACGGCACCTATTATTTAGGGTGCCCAAAAAGGGACCCTGATTTTGACAACCACCCATGTGCAGAACAAGATGCGGCAGTTTTGCTGGTCGAGGTTCCTTGGGCTAAGGGGTGAGGGTTTAGGGTAGATTGCAGGTCTGATGTTTTGGGTAGATGGGCATGCGGCATGCGGGCTTCGTGATGGTTGCGAGTATGAATTCAGCACAAACAGAAATGCTTCGAGACTGAAGTTTCTAGCAGTTCTGCAGGCAGGGGAAAAGGATCTCGGATTGAAGGTTGAGGGATCGGGTCTGCCAATCTCTGGGACTCGATAGAGCATGCGCTATCCTGCGCCCTGTCTTTGCTTGCATAGCCTCACGACACAAGAGCAGTGCCCAATTGTGGACCCACACTTACCGGGAATGTTCGAAGCATCTTACGCTCACTGGATTTGACCGCGCCCTGCGACTGCGCAATCTCGACTGCCGGAATCGATGTCTGAGGGCATGCATTAAACTTCTAGTATACACGAAGCCAAAGATCTGCCCGCTGAGAATATCCATCATCCAGTCTGCCGGATTCCAGTTCCTTGCCGACGGGTTTAGGGTTTGGGGTTCAGGTTAGATGTATGGTTTGCTGTTGTATTCCTCTTTTTGATAGGGGATAGGGGGCTCTGGTGGGTCAGGGTGTTTTTTTTTTTGTTGTGGCCCCTTTTTGCTCGGGCCCCGTGTCAATGGTTTCTAGAATTTTTTTTGCTGCGGTCCCAGGGCGTGCAAGGTGTTTTTTTTTTGCTCCGGCCCCGCCGAAAGGCAGGGGAAAGAGCGGGGCCAGAGCAACAAAAAAAAACACCACCCAGACCCTGCCCCGGAAGGGTCGCCCCGGCCCACAGTGAGTGAGTTTCCGGGCGGGGCCGCAGCAAAAAAAAACACCACCCAGACCCTGCCCCGGAAGGGTCGCCCCGGCCCACAGTGAGTGAGTGAGCTTCCGGGCGGGGCCGCAGCAAAAAAAAAAACACCCCGACGGCGAGCGGGGCCGCAGCAAAAAAAAAAACACCACTCCGGCGGAGGAGAAAGCATCGCTGCCCAGGCCCGCGCCCCGAAAGGTCGCCCCGGGCCACAGTGAGTGAGTGAGCGTCCGGGCGGGGCCGCAGCAAAAAAAAAAACACCACCCAGACCCTGCCCCGGAAGGGTCGCCCCGGCCCACAGTGAGTGAGTGAGCTTCCGGGCGGGGCCGCAGCAAAAAAAAAAACACCACCCAGAGGGTCGCCCCGCCCGGAAGCTCACTCACTCACTGTGGGCCGGGGCGACCCTTCCGGGGCAGGGTCTGGGTGGTGTTTTTTTTTTTTGCTGCGGCCCCGCCCGGACGCTCACTCACTCACTGTGGGCCGGGGCGACCTTTTCGGGGCGCGGGCCTAGGCAGCGATGCTTTCTCCTCCGCCGGAGTGGTGTTTCTTTTTTTGCTGCGGCCCCCGCCGAACTCGGCGAGCCAATAACAAAAAATGTCTGGTGTACTACATCGGGTCTAAAAAGACCCGGCGGGGCCACAGCAAAAAAAAAACACCACTTCCGCTCTGGTGTTTTGGGATTAGGGTCAAGATCTTAGTGACAGAAGCCGTGTTCCCTGACGCTGAGCATTACCAGAACGATCATCGTGCTGGTTGGAGAAGTACCGTTATCAGAGTTCGGAGCTTATCAGAGTACAGAAGCCAGAAACCACGGAAATCATCAGGTGCGGGAGTTCTAAACGGCCAACGACGATTGAGAAGCACTTCCCGAGAACCTCAGGTCGCTCATGAGTTTGCTGTTCTCGGTGTTGCCTTGCCCTTAACCCCTAAAACCCTAAACCCCTGAAAGCCCTAAACCCTAAATCCTGAAGCAAGCCCTTCCCTCTCTCGTCGACTGGGGGCCTTCAGTCTTGTCCTCCGAAGGCCCGAGGTCCCCAGGCCCGCCGAATGGCGTTAGGGGTCCAGGCTTTGGAGTCTACTTCTGTAGCAGTTTCGGGTACTTAGTAAGGGTTCCTAAAGGGCTCCTTGAAGGGATCTATAGGGTTCCTTAAAGGGATCTGTGGGGTTTAGGGTTTAGGGTCTACTTAGAGGATTTATTTGAGGCCCCTAAAGTAACTCTAACCCGACAAGGGCTGAAGTCCAAAGCAGCCCGAGATGCTCCGGCATTTGCAAGCCGAGGTGTTGAAAGTGCGACTTCGCTTGCACTGTCGGTCCCATGTAGGCCTTAGACAACTCTTAAGGCTTAGAGTAACCAGGATGGCAAACACAAATAGTTTAACAAAAACAACAAGAACGAGGACGACGAAGCCACCAATGATACTGGTGCCAACGGCATTGTCCGCTTCCGCGTTATCACTACACTGCTTGCACTCACATAGCCAACAATAATCAGATGCAAACGATCATTCTAAAACATCACCAAACTGCAACTGCTGCACATTGCATTACATTTAAAGTAATAGCTGTAGCAGCAGACATCGTAACGTGTAAGATGCCTTTTTGTCCTTGCGAAATTGGCATTACGTGTGACGATGCCAACGACGAGAAATTGTGAGTCCAAATTGTCGCTGTACCCAGAACTTCCAAAATCCCTTAATTAAGGAATATACCTTAAATCATATTAGGGATCCTACTATAATTTCAGGTATATTCCTTAATTAAGCGGTTCTGGAAGGTCTGCGTAGTGATCAAGGCGAGCATCCATGCGGCCGCCCTTGTCCTCCAGCGTCCCCAGAAGCAGCACGTCATCCAACCTTTGATTCGGCTGGGGCCTCTGAACCAAAAACAAACATAGTATTACGGTAACATACTACAATGTACTACCTTGTTCTACCATTCTACTACACTATGATAGGAGCAGCAGATGCATCCTGGTTAGCACCAGTACTACCATTTCGGATGTTACCATATTCGTAGTTTTGTACTATCATCTGGGTGAATCTTCACCAATGTGCAGCCTTGTCACTACTACGCTTACTACACAACTACGCTTGGTACCGGTAGTAGCAGTGGTAGTTGCGGTTGGTGGTGCTGTTGCTGCTGCTGTTGTTGTTGCTGTTGTTGTTGCTGCCGTAATTGGTGTAGTTGCTATTGAATACTGGTTTTTTGGCGTTGATGTTGATGTCGGATGTTGCAATTGATACACCTTGTATATGCGCTGGGTGACACTCGTTGCTCCATTGCCGCTGCTCTTGCCTTACTCCGGTCAGTTTCACCACCAAGAATGAAATGCAACTAGTCGTGTCGCTATATAAAGGATCAATTCTCCGCCTTTGACTGCTACGGATAAACTCTGTAAGGCTTCTTCCAACTACTATCACAAACTGCGGTTGTTGTTACCACTCTTTCTATATTTTTGCTGTCATTGTCAGCACTACTGCCTATCCTTTGTTGCCATTAAGTTTCGCCTGGTCACAAAGTGAAGAGGTCATAGCGCGGCTGATGGATCACCATGACGATGGTGACACCGAGCCGAGCCATCCTCCACTTCGGCTTTGCTTTAAGTGTGGCGGTCTGTTGCCTCTACAGGGTTTAGAGTTTAGATAAGCTTATGAAGCCGTTGCAAAACGAAGACTAGTCTATGGTCTAGGGTGGCTTCATCAAGGCCTCGTCTGATCCTTGTGTTGTGTAGTTACATGCCCTAGGGCCCCTTCACGGTTTCTAGTCTAAGCGGCTCATACATCAAAGGGGCCTTTTTCCTAAGACAAGCTGTAAACATCAAAGGGGCCCCAGTGAAAACCAAATCGGCCCTTTCGGGTTTCCCCCGCATCGTAGAGCCAAGCCGAAAAAAGGCTTCGGGTTGAGAGGTTTAAGGGCTTAGGGTTTAGGAGTCTAGAGGTGAAGGGGTTTAGGGTTCAGGATGTGGGGTTTAGGGAGTCTAAACCTTGCTCGGAAGCAACCTGGAAAGAAATACCGGGCAACACCCTAAACCCTAAACCCTAAACCCTAAACCCTAAACCCTAAACCTTAAACCCTAAACCCTAAACCCTAAACCCTAAACCCTAAACCCTCAACCTTCCAGCCCCGAATTGAACCCTGGAGTCCCCTAGAACCCTCAAGCCCATTCCACAAGCCTCGACCTCAACGGTTTAGAGTTTAGGGCCGTTTAGGGTTTAGGGTTTATAGGGTCAAATCCTTAATTAACCCTGAAGCCCTAAACTCTGAAACCTGCTGTAGCTAAACCTCAATCCCGCAACCCCTCAAACTCTCCACGTCCTGTTTCCCTAAACCCGAACCCGAAACTCTGAATCCTAAACCTTGAACTCTCAACCGCTTTATCCCGAGACAGCCCATAGATAAACCCTATGAAATAACCCTACATACTTTAACCTTACCAGAAAATCAATACGGGGCCTGATGAGACCCTCAAACCCAACTTAAACTCGAACCCTAAAACCTTACATAAATCCCGAAACCCTGAACCCTAAACCCTACAGGTCCCTTAACGGAACCCCTTTAAAGGTACCCTTAGAACCCTTTAGCACCTTTTGAGCTGCTGGACGATCATCAGCGAAGCCGTGGCGTCCAAGCCCGAGGTCGGCTCGTCCAGGAAAAGGATCGTGGGACAGGCCTCTAAAAATGGGGCTCGTTGGGCTCAGGGCAAAGGGGCCTAGAGAAGGTCTACGACTCTACTTACAAAAGAGAGTGTAAACCATGTCAGCATCTGCTCCCCACCATCTGATGACACGACAGGAATGCAGGTGAACGAAACGCAATGTCTGCCATCTTGCGATGTACAGCCCCAAATGTGCGGCCAGCATACCTTGCTACTTGGAGGGGCACGGGACTTAGTAAGTAGGTTATAAGTAGAGTATAAGGGCACTAAATGGAGCTACCCCAACTGTAACTCTACTTATAACCTACTTACTAAGTCCCTTGCCCCTCCAAGTACTGTTGACGGGGCACAGCGAGCTCAATCCCGACGTTGACACGCTTCTTCTGACCGCCACTGAGTCCTTCACCTTGGGGCACAAGAGTCTCACGGCAAACCCGGAAGTAGTATGGGGAACTTCTCTAGGAGTGGATGATCTTATCATACTTACCGCTGCACCCCAAACCCTTTTAATTTTAGTCTCAAACCGTCTAAGATCCTTCATCACAGACCCACTTCCTAAACCGTGCACACCAAGCCTAAAACCCCACAACCCGATCAACACCTAAAACAAAAACATACATAAACACTAGTAAAGATCCGTTAAATCCTACACAGCGCCTAACCCGACGACGGCTTTTCACGTTTCTGGCTGGACCCACGCCTGTCCGAACTCGATTGCCCACGAGCAAGTTCTGTCGCGACTCTAGCTGGAGCACCTGCAGACGCAGGACTTTCAGGGCTTGGGACGTTGCTCTCCGAACATTTAGGCTTTTCTCCAGGCTTAGAGTTTTCATTACGCCATTACGCCTTCATCAGGCGGCCTGGTCAAGTCAGAAGTCCATGAATTCAGAGATATGAAATACGAAAGCTTGTGGGAAGCTATTACAGGGATCTCTCGAAATGTCCACGTTTGGCGTCAAAGGTCCGTGGCTCACGATGTACGGTCGGGTCGAGCGATTGGGATTCATAGTCTGAAGCATTCGGCACACCGGTCACGCGAGAAGAAGTTCCACAAACAACTTGTCCTGCACATTCCTATAATTGCTTTCAACCTCGACTTTTTCACACGTAAAGAAGTTAGTGCAATCCGACAATAGACCGCATTACTCCCCTTGATATAGGATGTGCACCATCCTGGCTGGCCTCTGTACAGCGACTACATGCCGCGTCTTTGAGGCGACGTACGATTAAGTCTAGGTCCTGAGCACCCCAGACTCTGCCCCCACCTGTTCCACAGTGTCTACAGCTCAAGTTGCCAAAGTTTCCCTAAACCCTAAACCCGAAACCCAGAACCTGAGATGGGTTGAAGGCCTGCAGGACATCGTTCGTAATTGCTCGCAAGCGCGAGGCACGAGTTCCCCGTGGCATGCGCTTGGCTGCGGAGTAGTAGATGTTCTCTCGGACAGTCAAGCCTTCAGGGCTTTTCAGAGTGTGGATCTAGGATTTCGTATCTTCAGGGTCGATTGGGCTCTCGGTTGGGTGCGCCTGAGCTGGAGCTAAGGGAGGCTTCTGGATTAACAGGTTTTGGATTTTGGATTTGTCAACACAAGGTTCAGGGTTCCACCATCAACAACCCCAGCAACCGAATGTCTTCGAGGCCCACAATCTACACAATCCTCAGGCCTTAGGACTTCAGGGAGCATGGGAACTGATTGTCCTAGCAAAGCACGGCAGGAGTTATTGGCACTCATGAAGTTATCAACTGCTGGCCAGCCTGAAGCTGAGTCATGTCAGGATTTGTTCACTCCGCAAGTCCCTGGAGTGGCAAGCCACCCAGCTCAAGCAAAGGGTTTAGGGTTTAGGGTTTAGGGTTCTAAACCCTAAACCCTAAACCCGCCCTCGAACACCCCAAAGCTGCCGCCAGCAAGCCTTCATGCACCACATCGTCCTGGCCGGCACAAGCTACATTCTCGTTGCTGCTCCTTTCAACATTGCTTTCCACGCTGAGCAGCCGACATGGAAGTTGCTCTAACTCTAACGAAATAGCAGCGGGCTACTGCGGTTATGACTGCGGAGACGACGACGAAGACAACTGCCATTACTGTACGATGGTTCCATTGCTGCTGCTGTCACAACTTTGCATACAAGTTCCACTGCTATCTTCATTAACCGCAGCATCGCTTAAGTTGCTACAGATCTCAAGCACAAGCTTACCTTTTTAGTAGGGGATGCAGGAATGGGGTACTCTTATAACCTACTATTACTACCATTCTTCCATTCCCTACTAACCAAAGGTAAGCAAGATCACTCTCTTGTGCGGCTCACCACAATTCCGGAGTTCTCCTGCGGAACAAAGCCGATCACCGGCTTGATGTCTTCGATGCTGGTCTTCTTTTCCTCGAGGTTTAAGGCTTTTTTTGCAAAAAAAGGTTCACAGAAGGGGGGCTTAGGGCTTCGGGTTTAGGGTGCAGGTTTTGCGGGTTTGAGGGAAAGAAGCATGGCAATAGTGCCAAATATCCTAGATAATCAATCCACCATTCCAATTGAAGCAGAACAAGTTTACTCCAACACTCCGACCCTTTTGCATTCTGGCCCGAGGCACATTGATAAGGATGTCACCTTCGACGGTCCACTTGCCATCGGTTTTCTTCCTGAGCGCTTGTAACAGTGGACCCCGACTTCGAATCCAGAACAGTGAAATTTATGCCTGGTAATTGCATGAGCAATCTGAACCCATAGCTGGCGGCCTTCATGGTGCTACTGCCATCAACATGCGACTGTCCTTGCTAATTATACTCATGGTTGTAGTAGACACAGTAGTAGTTGCAGTCGCGGCAGGAGCAGTGCCAGCAGCAGGGGCAGTCTCACCAGTAAGCTCTTACTACCACCTGAGCCCACAAAAAATGTAGAATAAAAGCCCTTTGTAGGTTTTGGGCCATGATTTTACCTACTCACAGACTAGCCAAGGCAAGCCGCTTGCCGGTGAGGACGTCGAGCAATGTGCTCTTCCCACAACCAGACGGGCCCATGATGGCAGACAGATGATATGCCTGACATGAAGCCGCGGAGCTGTGAAGTTCTTACAGAAGCCGTGCGTTTGACTCTTGCAGACTAGCTGTTTGGTGCGGGCCGCATTCCCGACCCGCACCGAAGAAAACGCCCCCCTTCCCCCCCAATTCCCCCCTAAACCCTAAACCCTAAACCCCTAAACCTTAACCAAGCTGAAAAATACCGTGCGGCCTGGAAGGTGCCAGTGATGTTCTCTAAGATGCTCCTCAGCTCCCCGGGCTCTCGGAGGGAAATTGTCACTCTGGGTATCCTGTAATCTAGGGGCCTCAAGAGTTAGGACAGGGTTTTGGTGTATACTATACTACTATAACGTTAGAACAGGGTTTTGGTGTATACTGTACTACTATAACGTTAGAACAGGGTTTTGGTGTATACTATGCTACTATAGCTCTAATGAGGAACCCCCAAATAAGTATTGGATAATTATTGAAGCCCCTACAATATCCTGTATGTCTTACCTTATTCAGCGTCAGTAGACCGAGGTCCAGGTTGAGGGAGCCAGTTTGGGGAGCCTCTATAATCTATTTGCAAGGACACAACTCTCACGACCTAAACGGTTTAGGGTTTAGGGTTGTAGGGATTTAGGGTTTAGGGTTTAGGGTTTTAGGGTTTAGGGTTTAGGGTTTAGGGTTAAGCCACTGAACCAGAGCAGACAATTTAGGCTTCAGGATTTTACGTCACGATATTGAATCATTGAAAGGGCTCCAGAGACCCTTGCTCTTCAAAGCAGACGGGTTGGAGGCTCCAAGGAACGGGGGGGCTCCAAGGAACGCTTGTACAGAATTGTCACGTTCCAGCGCTCGAAACTCGAGACGTAATCATCGGCGTGACGTCCATGAACCCGAAGCCTTAAATCATAAGACCGGAACCCGAAACCCTAAACACTGACTAAGCCCATAAGACCTGAACCCAAAACCCCAAACCTTAAACTTCATAAGACCTGAACCATTAAACTCTCAACCCTAAACCCCTGAAACCCTAAACCCTAAACCCCTAAACCCCTAAAACCCTAAACCCTAAACCCTAAACCCTAAACCCTAACCCCTAAACCCTAAACCCTAAACCCTAAACCCTAAACCCTAAACCCTAACCCCTAAACCCTAAACCCTAAACCCCCAAAACCCATAAGATCTGAACTCGGAACCCCAGTGGGCAGCTCAAGGCTTTGACTGCTTCCCGCGGCGGATCTCGGGCTCATGCCTCAGGTGCCCTGACACCACACGACCGAGTATAAATACATGTGTATTTATATATATATATATGTATAATATATATATATATATATATATATATGTATGTATATATATGTTTACCCGGAGCCTTCCCTAAACCCTACACCCCAACGCCTCATCCCTGAACCCTAAACCTAAACCCGAAATCCTGAATCCTAAACCCTAAATGCTGAATCCTGAATCTGAAACCCTAAAACTCCTGAATCCTACACCCTAAACCCCTAAACCCCTAAACCCCTAAACCCGACGTGCAAAGCCCTCAACCGAGGCAGCGCCAATGCTCTCAAGGCTCCTCTCTTCGGATCCCGTCATGACTTTGCAGTTGATGTCCCTTAGGATCTAGGGCATAGGGTCTACCCATAGTCTCCATTGTAGTTCCTTTTTTTGGTTTAACCAATTTTATATTAAGGATCCTAAAAGGTAACCCCAAAAAGGAGCTACAATGGAGACTATAGGTAGGGCTGAGGATCTAGGGTTAGGGTTTGGGGCTTCGGGCCTAGGGTTTAGGGCTTGGGGTTCGGGGTTCAGGGTTTGGGGTTTGTGATCCAAGGCTTCGGGACGGCTTAGGGCCTCGGGGTTTGGGGCTTCTGAAGTTTCAGTTCCTTGGGGGGACCCTCTAAACCCCAAAAATCCCTACTCCCTACACTAAACCCCAACCCCAAACCCGGATCTTTATACCCAAAAACCCAATGCCCCAAACCCTCATCTCTACCAGGACCCTCCAAGTACCCTTTAAGAAAGCCCTGATGGTCCTTAATAGTGGGTATTTAGGGTATGTTAGAGGGTAGTTGGGGGGTCCAGGTATAGATGAAGTCTGTAGTTCCTCTTTCTTTGCATCAGCTCGGAAAGCCCCGGAGGGAGGAGTCCACGAGGCGTAAGCTTTCAAGCTTGGGGTTTAGCAAACCAGGTTTAGGGTTTAGGGTTTAGGGTTTAGGGTTTAGGGTTTTTTATACTTGGAGGGGCAGGGGACTTAGTAAGTAGGTTATAAGTAGGCTTATATTTGGGGGACCTCCACTTAGGGTACTTATAACTCTACTTAAAACCTACTTACTAAGTCCCCTGCCCCTCCAAGTAGTGTTTAGGGTTTAGGGTATCAGGCCCTCGGTACAGGGGCCTGCATAAACCAGAGTAGGGCTTTGAGGCATACCAAACCCATGCCCTGAACGCTGTCGTAGTACGCGGGGACGCCGCAGGGCAACTGCTGAACTGTTGCAACCCCTCTCCTAGAGCCTTCAGACAGGGGACTCCCCACGGCTGATGATACAACTCGTGCATTACCCTGATGGCCCTAGCTTATGGGAACTATGATACTTTCCTCATTATTTTGGGTAATGCAGGATTTATAGCATCAGCCGTAGTAAAGGGGCCTTAATAAGAAGAACAGGGTTTTGTGTTTAGGATTCCCTGAACATTTGGTGTAATAATATGGCATGCCTTTTGTCATCAACCTTAGGGAAAGACATTGGTAAGACATGGGTGCATTTTGCTCACGGTTCATGGGTAAAGAAACTCAAATTCCAGTAACTTCTAACTTCTACCTGAATCTACCAAAACCTACTTGTTTGTAAATTCTTGCAAACCCATTTAATCCCGATGTTAAAAGGACTCTGCAAAAAAGTAGGTTTTGCAGAGTTAAGGAAAGGTTTAGGGCCTAGAAAATAAGGGCTCAGGGCAGAAGGGCATGAGGATCTAGGGTTTGAGCTTCGACTTTGTGTTGCGTGCTTGAAAGAAGCCGCCTATTAAACCATAAACCTTAAGCCCTTAACTGAACAGCAATCCATAAAACCTTAAGCCTAAAATAAAACCCTTAGACGCTTAAGCCCCTGAGCACGAAACCTAGCACGACTGTCCTGGAAGCCCTACTTGGAAGGGCACGGGACTTAGTAAGTAGGTTTTAAGTAGAGTTATAAGTACCCTAAATGGAGTTACCCCAATTATAACCCTACTTATAACCTACTTACTAAGTCCCCTGCCCTTCCAAGTACGACCACAGCCCTTCAGTCAGTGTTCCAGACCAACAGGCCCTACTTCGGCGCTACTTCACATGAACGGTCCCTTTCGGGGGATCCTTGTATCAAAGATCGTACTGCCTAGGACCTAGGGTCATGAATTGGGTGTACTATGGCGAATCCCGAAAACGAGATCCTAGAAACAAAGATCCTACTCTTTAGGGCCGAAACTCTGCAACCCTCCTTTGAAGATATCACTCTTTTAACATTGGGACCGGCAGGCCTTCACCTGCAATCGCGTCTGGATAAAGTATACAAGGCCTCGCCCTTCGCCCATATCCGCTTCCATGTCTAGACAGAAGCTGTACCAGGTACACTGTACCACCTCCAAGTGCCTCTCCTTAGCCGCAATGTGCAAAGGGGTGGTGCCATCATGCATAGCCTTGTCCTTGTCCGCGTTGGCGTGCAACTTGCAGCTGCCCATTCTGAGCTGCAATATGCAAAGGGGTGGCGCCGTTCTTGGTTGCCTTGTCCTTGTCCGCATTGGCCTCCAGCAACAGGCTTGACACCTGCAAGTGTCCGTTCTGCGTTGCAATTAGCAAAGGGGTGGCGCCATCATGCGTAGCCTTGTCCTTGTCCGCATTGGCCTCCAGCAGAAGGCGTGCAACCTGCAACTTCCCATTGTGAGCTGCAATGTGCAAAGGGGTGGCGCCATTCTTTCGAGCTTGGTCCTTGTCCGCTTTGGCCTCCAGCAACAGGCATGCAACTTCCAACTGCCCCTTCCCCGCTGCGATGTACAAGGGGGTGGTGCCATCATGCGTGGCCTTGTCCTTGTCCGCGTTGGTCTCCAACAAAAGGCGTGCAACTTGCAGCTGCCCAATCTGAGCTGCAATATGCAAAGGGGTGGCGCCGTTCTTTGTTGCCTTGTCCTTGTCCGCATTGGCCTCCAGCAGAAGGCGTGCAACCTGCAACTTCCCATTGTGAGCTGCAATGTGCAAAGGGGTGGCGCCATTCTTTCGAGCTTGGTCCTTGTCCGCTTTGGCCTCCAGCAACAGGCATGCAACTTCCAACTGCCCCTTCCCCGCTGCGATGTACAAGGGGGTGGCGCCATCATGCGTGGCCTTGTCCTTGTCCGCATTGGCCTCCAGCAAAAGGCGTGCAAGCTCCTGCTGCCCCTTTTGGGCTGCAATGAACAGCGGAGTGATGCCGTAGTTCTCTTCTGCCTTGTCCTTGTCCGCATTGGCCTCCAGCAACAGGCTTGCAAAAACTAAGTGTCCATTCTGAGCGGCAACGTGCAAAGGAGTGGCGCCGCTCTTTCGAGCCTTGTCCTTGTCCGCTTTGGCCTCTAGCAAAAGGCTTGCAACCTCCAAGTGTCTATTTTGCATTGCAGTATACAAGGGGGTGGTACCATCATGCATAGCCTTCTCCTTGTCCACATTGGTCTCCAGCAAAAGGCGTACAAGCTCCTGCTGCCCCTTTTGGGAGCGGAGTGATGCCGTTTTCTGCTGCCTTGTCCTTGTCTGCTTTGGCCTCCAGCAGAAGGCGTGCAACCTCCAACTGCCCACTCTGAGCGGCCATGTACAAAGGGGTGCGACCACCATGCGCTGCATTGTCTTTGTCAGCATTGGCCTCCAGTAGGAGGCGAACCACCTCCGAGTGGCCATGACTGGATGCCGCCAACAGCGGGGCCGGATCACCTACATCTGGATCTTGCGGCCTGTGTAAAATAGTCTCCACTTCCGATGTCAAGCCGCTGCTTGCAGCATCCCGAAGTGCTTCCACTTGCGCTTCAGATGCTTCGCAGAAGCTAAGATTCACGACCTGAACTTCGCCCGGTCTCAGGGCGTGTTCGTCATGTGGAACCAAATCATTATCCGGAAACACTAGCCTTTGCCTGAACCTTGACAGCCCAAACATGCTGTGCAAGTGCTGCTTCAGTGCCCGGACAGGACTCATCTCTGCAGGAAGCGCCTCAAGAAAGCTCACCAAGTCAATCTCAGTGAGGCATTCGCCCGACAATGCCCGAATCCGCAGCATGTCTAGCACTACACGCAAGAGACTTGAGAGCCTAGGTCGTAGCCCCTTTTGGAAAAGAAAGTTTGGAGCTGAGAGGGTTCTATCCAATGCACCATGCACTGGCTTGAACCACTAATGCAGCTGATCACGCGATCATCTGGTTAAGAACTTACTTACAGGAAAGTGCACTTCACAAGCAAGAGTTGAACTGCAGCTGAAAGCCTACATAACCCCAAATCTTAAGACCTCAAACCATACACCCGAAAGCCCCAACGAAGCCTCAAAAGAGAACACCCCAACAAAGCATTGAGTTGACACCCCCTTGACCCGCAAGCCTCAACCTACTTGTCCAGTATCCTGGGAAACTAGGAGTTAACCTTTGGGAGTATGTATGTATGTATATGTATATATATATATATATATATATAGGGATGACATAGGGAATATAGTAGCCGTAATGAGGCTAACGGTGGCCTGCTCTACTACTGTAGGTATAAAGCATTAGACTTGCGGTCCCTGCCGTCACGGAGCCCGCAACTCCACTCAGAATCAAGAAGGTTTCTACAAAGCTTCTCAAACTTATGATCCTCGAAATGAGCCGCGGGGCCGAAATGACAAGCTCGCCGTGTGGATCTTGGGCGTGATTCCCCGGAACTTGTTATCCTGAAGTTGAGCATCAGGCCAAGGGTAAGGAGTCGCTGGAGCCTGGGCCCATATCGGATTTCGACCTGGCACCAATGACACGAACTCAGATTCACGGAATGTGCTTGAGGTTTGAGCTTGTCCCCGTCCTTCAACCTTCAAAAAACCACAGGTAGCACTGCAAGAGCAAAATGTGGCTTCTCTCAGCACGTGGCCTGGACCAGACCTGAGCCCGGATGAAGCCCCTTCAGCCCAAGCGGTCCTCCAGATGCTGGATACTGAAGTTCAACAGAATCCTGGTCTGCCGGGGGGGTCAGCTTTTGAGGGGTTCGGGTGCTAAGGCCTCAGGCAAGTTGAGATATTACGACCATCCCGCACAGGTCTAGAAGCAGCCTTGAATCTGCCCTTCCTACGCTGTGGCTCTCACCAGCTCGGGGCTAGAAGTTTGGGGATTAGGGTTTAGGGGTTTAGGGTTTAGGGTATCGGGTCTAGGGTGAAAACATCCAAACTCCAACTGAAGCTCGCGAAAAGCAGAGGAGGGTGCGAGGTGCCTAGGGATATGTCGTCTCGCGAAGGCGCACCCCAAATCAATCCAGCGCCATACTGCGGTGATCCGAACCAACCACTACTAGTAGCCGTCCCATACTGAGCACCGTAAGCTACGGGCAACGAACCCAACTATGGCAGAAGCGCGGAGCCCCCACAGTGCCCTTGTCGACCTGTTGCGGTTCAACCCTGAAACTTCCAAATGGCCGTCCAACGGACTAACGGCATAAGCAGGTTGTGGTAGAGGTAGCGGCGCAAGGATTGGTGGCAGTAGTAGCAGGAAGCATGCAGTAGGTAGCAGTACTTGCAGGCTCATGGGACTTAGTAAGTAAGGCTATAAGTAGGTTATAATTAGGATAACCCCAGTTAGGGGACTTATAACCCCAGTTATAACCTACTTATTAAGTCCCATGATCCTCTAAGTAGCTGAAGCAGCATCATGCGTGCCGGGACCAGGATCAAAATATTGCCTCGTCCACTCTTGCCTCTCAGCATGATCCCAAGATTAGCATTGCAGAATCCGACTCCTTATGGAGTCCTGCAGCACAATACAGCATACGGACCTAAGTAATTAGAATCCGGGTGTGCGGTATATACATTCTGTAGAAATGAGACAACAGTTAGGATGAGAATAAGAAGAAGTTTAGTTATTCTTCGCTATTTAAGCCTCTAGATTACCAACAGATTCATTCCAACCATGCTCGGATCACTCATAGCAACTTCGCAGGATTAGGGGAGGATCTAGAAACTAGAGATCCCCTCAGAGGCTTGGGATTTAAGGCCTCGGGTTTCCTATGAGGTACGTCTCGATCAGATAAGGGCTTAGGGTATAGGGTATATATAGGGTTTAGGGTATAGGGTATATATGGGGTTTAGGGTTCAAGTTTTCCAGTGTTTTCTTGTCAGATGAGCTCAAAGCTCTGGCTTAGACTTCCGATAGTGCAGAAGGGCGTCTGCTTGAGAGTTCGGTCCGTCGTCTTCAGCCGCTCTAACGTCTGCTCCTCATATTTATCCAGGCCTCAGCTCTTTGGTTGAGTGTGTCTTTTAAGGCATCGGGTGTTAGAGTTCAGAGTTTAGGGGAGTTTAGGGGTTTAGGGGTTTGGGGGTGTAGGGGTTTAGGGGTTTAGGGTTTGGGACCAGGGTCGGGATCAAAGTCTCTGGGTTTATGGAGGACTCTCCCTGCTTCGGCGGCCCTTTTGAGGGAGACTTGGTGGAAGGCCTGGGGATGAGGGTGTAGGATTTAGGAGTTTCGGGGTTTAGGGATTTAGGGTTTGGGGGTTTAGGGGTTTAGGGGTTTAGGGGTTTAGGGGTTTACGGTTTAGGCTAGGGGTTTAGGGGCTTTCGGGGTTTCGGGGTGTAGGGGTTTAGAGGTTTCGGGTTTAGGGAAGTGTGTCGTAGTTTCGTTGCGTGTGTTTCAAGGGTGACGGAGTGCAGAAACTTGACAAAAAGGAGAGGTCTCATGTCACGGTGAATCCTTCTTCAGCCGGAGAATGACTGGACACCGGGCGTGGGGTTTGGGGTTTACGGTCTTCTGGTGGAGGACACTTCCAGGAAGCATGCAGCCGAAATGAAGTGGGCCTTATTCCAGCTCCGGCCCATTGTCTTTCAGTGAACTCCTGAACCCGCAGTCATATTTCACATTCTGAAATCAGTCAAGCCCGAACATACAGCCACTGCGGCCTCCCCCCATCTTGGAATGTACACCGGTGAAACAACAGGGACGGCAAGGGCGGCTCTCCAGGCAAACCGCATCGGCTGACAACTAATACGATTTAATAATTAGAATAGTCTTTTGGGGCATGTTCAACTATACTTGTAGTAGTAAGGTAAGGACCCCCCGCAAACTCGTAAAGGTAATTATTCAGGCCTCTATATTACACTTGAGTCCTCTTGCAACACACCTCTCGCCTGCCTAAGCACGGACCTGCCCCCCTAACCACAAACCCTAAACCCCAAACCCCAAAAACCCTAAAACCTAAACCCCAAAAACCCCATAAACCCTAAACCCCAAATGCAGCCTAAAAACCCTAAACCCCAAGTGCAGCCCAGGGGGACGCGCGAAGGCCCTCTGGTAGACGTAGACGCCAAAGACCACCAGGATCGAAGTTGCCAGGAGCAGGCTGGCAGAAATCTTGCCTTAAAGGGGTCTAGTAAGGGTTACTATAAGGGATCCATAAGGGTACTATAATGTAGGGCCCTTAACAAATAGAGTAGGGTTCCTTAAAAGGGGTCTATAGGGGCTACTCTAAGGGCTATTATAAGGATTAAAAAAAGAGCCCAAGACCCCTTTATTAAGGAATATAGCTCAAATCATAATCCTCAGCGCACCGAGCTCATCTTTAATATGACAGCAGCAGAGGGCAGCCGTTGTAGCAGCAGTGGCAACAGGAAGAAGAAGACGAAGATGAAACATGAATACAAGAATCAGTAACAACAACACAAAGTGTGATGGCAGAATGGCGCGAAGAGTAGAAATGGCTGCAGTAGTAGTACTAGTCGTCGTGGTTGTTGTGGTACTACTGTAGCAGGAGGAGGAGGAGGAGGACGCAGTAGTAGTAGTAGTAGGAGTCGTCGTCGTCGTCGTCGTCGTGGTCGTCGTCGTAGTTTGAGTCGTAGTTCCTGGCGCGAGAGCTCTCACACCTTTCGGAATCTTCGGCTTAATCATCACCGTGTTTATGCTCATGCTTGGGCTCATCTTCGTCGTCATCGCAGGGGCCATACCATCGTCACCATCATCAGCAACAGCGTCACCATTACAATGCATCACAATGCCATCTAAGGTGAACTCTGTGCTTCCTTCTTCTCAGCCTCGATTGCCTGTAGATTCAGAAGAGAAGAGCACTGCAGTCCAGACTGAGAGTTTTAGGGCTCAAACCAAGCCCTTCTGGTGGAAGGAAAGGTCTAGTGACTAGTGGGAACAAGACGGAAAAAGTTCACAGAAAAATAGATTCCGCAGCACTTCCTTTAAACACATCCCAAAACTCCGGGGGCTAAATAAGAGCATTCTCAATAGCAGTAGTTCGATGATTTATCCTTTTCTGATGGTGTTTAATGCTATGATTATTCGTAGTATTCTCATGCGGGTCCATGGCCAGGGTGCTTGACCTCTGCACTTCTTCGCTCGCCGTCCGGTGAGATGTCTGTACCTGAGTGGCGGCGTTAGCCACAACGTTGCCTTGCCACGCTTTAGGGTTTAGGGTTTAGGGGTAACGAGGGCTCTAAACATCTTCAGTGAGCTGTTGGGGCGCATCATACCATACTTGCAAGTGAGAGCCCAATGCTAAGTATTCATCAGGCGCGTATACGTTCACGGGCATCTGTCGGTGAGAGAAACGAATCAAGCGAACCTGTCGCACTTTGGCCAGGTCAGAACGTACATAGAATGCTGGCACAGGTCTGTATACTACACCATCTCGATCAACAAGCCTGGCCATGTCTGGCTGCACCCATGGTCTTGTACATTGCAGAAGCTGTAACTTGTGGCAAGTGTCCTTCATCGGGCAACACTGGTGAAAACGTGAATAGCCACCGCAGCTGCTGCTTTGTCAGCGTTTGAGGGCTGGGGATATGCGACACCACGCTACAGTCACAAAGGAACTGTTTACAAAGCACTCGTCATGACCCAAAGGAACCCCTGTTAATGGGCGGTGTACACGATGAAAGAACCCAGGCCAAAGCATGGCTGCACCGTCGTTTTCCCTCAACCTCCAAGCCCCAAAACCCTGAACGCCTTCAACACATCCTGAACCCCTAAACCCCAAGCCCAGTTTTTACCCCCAAAACCCTGAAGGCTGTATGTTTGAAACCCTTACGGCCCGGCGTCTGTTTCATTGGCACCAACTGCCAGGTAGATGTGCGAAACACAGAGCAACAAGAGTAGACACCGAGGCCTTTGAAGCAACATGGCGGAAGGATCCATGTGTGTGTATATATATATATATATATGTATATATATATATATAATTACATAGACAGATAGATAGACAGATACATGTATAGATACTTATGTGAGTATATGTGTTGTTTATGTGCCTTGGTTTACATGTTTATGCATCCATTTGTTTGTGCAACTGTATAGGACTTATTTGCTCATCTACTTTTAACTGTTGTTTGGGATTCTACTTATGTAACTTATGTATTATCTGTGAGGTTTGTAAGCTCAGGGTGGTAGGCTCTTGTGGCACTGCGGGCGGAGTGAGGCTCAAGCCTTGTGTATGATGGTTGTGTGGATTCTTGTCTCGACATCTTCAAACAGCCACCACGACGACCACTGCTGGTGCTTCTCACGCTTCTGCTACTGCTACTTTTGCTGCTACTATTCCTACGACGACTCCACTATGTTGCTACTGGTACCACCACTACTGCTTCCACTACCACTGCCACCGCTACTCTCGCATACTCTTTTGCAATGTGATCGCGTCACAGACTGGAGGCTTCCAGCTCAGGGCCAAACGGCTCCCAGACAATGCAAAAGTGGTGGCAGAAGCGTCAAGGGTTGCAATAAGGGAAATCAAGAATCAAGGATGATTCCAGGACGATGTCAGAAAAAGAAGCATCGTGGCAAGTCGAGAAAACCAGAAGACTTCATCAGCGTCATCCAGTGAATCTTGGCAGTACACAAAAAAAGACAATGCACGCTAGTTGGCGCATCGTAATAGCAACTGTGGCGAGGCTTGCCCCCCACGGAGACCTTACGAGATGGAACCGGGATGCTGGTGGTTGCTAGCTACGAAGGCCCATGTGAACCTGCGTTTCGGTACATGTAAGAAGGCACAGATGATGCTCGGAGCTATGTTCTACTAGCATAAGTCCCTCTCAAACAAAACCCGGGTTGAGAACACACGTCAGACGCTTCAGCACAAACATCTCTGCTGACGTCCCCGAAACCTTAGTGCATAGGCTCTTTAAACAGAAAACTAACAACCTACATAGTTACAAAACCATCAACCGACAGAGCGCCCAACACCATACTATCCCCGTCGATGCCGACAGCTACCGGCTGTTGGGCCACTGCCTTGCAGGATCGGATCTGGCTCTCAGGTTTTGGGCTTAAGGGTTTAGGGTTTAGGGTTTAGGGGTTTAGGGCTTAGGGACCGGATGACAATGAATGATACCGGGAAGCCTTTATCTGCAGAGCTCAGGACAGGGAAGCGCGAGCTGAAAAAAGGCAAAGCAAACACGATTACGCTGACCTCGATTTATCTCTGTGCATGTATGCGCGCAGTATACAAATATATGTGTCGTGTAAGGTCTTGCAACGTTATGTATGAGGTAAAGTAAAGTAAGGCAACGCACTGCAATGCAATGCAATACATGGGTGCATGTATGAAATACATTATGCAAACACATGGTATGGAGATGTATGTCCTAATGCAAACAGTCTGAAGCATAACTTGCCAACAACCTTCCGCCCCAAATCCCAAAGAGGTAAGACCTAACTAATTCTGGGGGTGTCTTGACAGCCGCGGCAATGGGACCCAAAAAATGACATAACCATAAGCATTTTACAGGGATATCCCTACCTTATTGGGCTTCATTATAAGGGGGTTTATATGGGATATCTGAGGATAGCTCTATCCTTTTCCTGCTTCTGTGCTTTTTGGATCCCTATTCTTGCTTCTCATGATTGCTCCACAGGGAGTTTTGATCCAAGACCTTCAACCAAAACCAAAAAAAGCCGGCACCTGCATCAGTGCATTCTCGTCGCCTTGCTTCACTGGCCTGACTCCGGGCTTATGAGTGTACTTGGGGTTTAGGGTAAGGGGTTCTGAATCTAGCGTCTGCCGGTTGAGAGCAGCACTTTCAAGCAGATGGACAAAGCCCCAAGCGCTACGAACTTCGGGCCTTTTAAGACTCATGTTCCCATACTCGCTCAGCCTGCTCAGATTAGCAGTGCCCCAAACCCTAAACCCTAATTAGCATCTAGTTCCCCTAAATCCGCAAACCCCAGTTTGCAGCAGGATGAAGTTCGTCGTACTTTAACAGTTTGTTATTGAACACCCTCCAGAACCCCTTTAACCCCTTAGACTCCATAACAAAGTTCTCCGTCCGGAACAGTAAAGTAAGGTCGATGATACAATTCCGGCATTACCCAGCAGAATATTGAATAAACCAGAATTCCCATAGTCTAGCGTCATTCGGGTAATGCAGGATGTATCCCTCAGGGAGCCCTGCCAACGGAAACTGCACTTTTCCGCACATATAGTGTCACCTGCATGATCCCAGCGGTAAGTGCACGAAACTATAACCCTGGCGACGCAGAGTAGCTCCCTGAAACCCCAATCCTAGTTCATGGTTGGGATAGGATTAAACATGTACATGTTTATTCCTTATTGGGTTTAAGTACCCATAAACATGTAAAATGTTACGCAACGATGATAAAGAATCATGGCCCCTATAAAGGTAGCGCGAACCAAAGCACTGCCCCAAACTCAGAAACCTGGACACTGAAACTTACCTATATGGGTGGTTGACAAAATTAGGGTCCCTTTTAGTGTACCCTTAGTTATAAGTGCCGTATTATATTAAGGACCGAAAAACGACCCTAATTTTGACAACCTCCCATATAGTGTTCTCCAAAGTAGCTCCTTGTTTGGCTTAACCAACTTTGGGGATATCGCTTGTCTTCCCGGGCGCCGGTTTCGGGTCTCGGGTGGGCTCCGGGTTCCCGTTCCTTCCGGTTCGGTTCCGTTCCGGGTCGCGGTTCCGGCTTCCGCGTTCCGGCTCCGGGTGGCGACTAGAGACGAGAAAAGCGATACTATGCCAATTCGACATTGAGGATTCCCAAAAGTAACCACACAAAAAGACAATAGGGGTCTTTTAAGGGGTCTATACGCGGTTACTATAATGGCTACTATAGGGGTTCTAAAATATAAGGGCCTAATAATTAGGTATAGGCTGGTCTAAGTACACCCCTTAGCCTCGACTCTCCTTTCACTTTCTTGTGTCTTACTCCGAAGCTCTTTCGGGAACATGCTAGGGTTTTAGGGTTTAGGGTTTAGGGTTTTGGGGTTTAGGGTTTCATGCTAGGGTTTTAGGGGGGCCTTTGTGTCTAATTGTAGCAAGGAGCCCGGTGAAACTAAGCTGAAATTCGTCAGGCCCCGAACTCACAGACTGTGATGGCTGAACAACCTTTGAAACAAAACAAAAAAACAAACATCCCCGAAAGCACTGAAGCCACCAAAGTTCTACCCTGCGAATCAGAAAGTGCAAAAGAACCTACTAAACCTACAGCCTGCGATGCAAAACTGCACAGCCCTAACTTCAGCAAGCTCCTGCCAAGGCCCAGAACTCCTCCCGAACCTCCCAAAACCCTAAACCCCTAAACCCCCAAACCCCTAGACCCCAAAACCCTGAACCCCTAAACCCTAACCCCTAAACCCTAAACCCCTAAACCCTAAACCCCTAAACCCCTAAACCCTAACCCCTAAACCCTAAACCCCTAAACCCTAAACCCCTAAACCCCTAAACCCTAAACCCCTAAACGCCTAAACCCTAAACCACTAAACCCCTAAAACCTAAACCCCTAAACCCCCTAAACCCCTAAACCCCTAAACCCTAAGCCCCTAAACCCCCTAAACCCCTAAACCCCTAAACCCCTAAGCCCCTAAACCCCTAAACCCTAAACCCCTAAACCCCTAAACCCTAAACCCTAAACCCTAAACCCTGGACCCTGAACCCCTAAACCCTAAACCCTAAACCCTGAACCCTGTACCCTGTACCCCGCAAGCCCCACCAGTGCACAAGCCCCGGACCATGGCCCACGCACGCCTCCAGGAGGGATCACCTGCTTGGAGGGGCAGGGGACTTAGTAAGGATTCTTAAAGGGCCCCTTTAAGGGATCTATAGGGCTCCTTGGAGGGATCTATGGGGTTTAGGGTTTAGGGTCTACTTGGCGGGGCAGGGGACTTAGTAAGTAGGTTATAAGTAGAGTTATAAGTACCCTAAATGGAGTTACCCCCAATCATAACCCTACTTGTAACCTACTTACTAAGTCCCCTGCCCTTCCAAGTGGCAGCGCGACGACGAGTCTGAAAGGCTGGCTTTGGCTTTTCAGGGTTTACTTAAAGGATCATGGGACTTAGTAGCTAGGGTTCCCTAAAGGGCTCCTTTTCAAAGGGATCTATAGGGGTTCTATAAGGGGGGTTTAAGGTCTACTTAAAGGACCATGGGACTTAGTAACTAGGGTTCTAATTAGGGTAACTATACTTATAACCCCAATTAAGGTACTTATAACCTTGCTTACTAAGTCCCATGATCCTCCAAGTAGTGCTCGGGGCTTAGAAAAGTTTCAAATCGGGAGCTTTCTTGAGGGCATCTCAAGCCCGCGAAACTCCTCGTTTTTCCTAGGGATCTAAGGACTCATGGGTTTAGGGTTTAGGGTTTCGGGTTTAGGGTTTATATTAAGGCTTTTGGGCCCAAAGACCAAACTTTACAAGGCTTTTGGGCTATTTTGATCCGTAGGGTTTGTAGATAGAAGACCACGAGCAGCAGCGTCAATTGCATTACGTGTAGCAATTGTTAAAGCCCCTAGCCTTCAATCCCAAACTCTCAAACCCTCCTAGGTAACCTCAAACCGTAAACCCAAACCTGCCTAGAAGGGGGCTTCGAAGAAGGCAAAAAGGAGGGGGCGGAAAGGAAGGCTTTAAAGGGAGGGGCTTGAGGGGAGCTTAAGGGGGAGAGAGCATTCAGGCTCCACCCGAAACTCCCCTGAAGATTGACGCTAACCCAAAGGCTGCACGTCTGCGAGAGCATGCCGCGATATGCCGCCAGTTTCAAAGTAGAGCTCCACCTACTATGAGATACTAAATATGCAATATTATACAATAAAAAACACTATAATAATGTACTTAATAATTAATATACTATAATATACTAATAAATATTATCATGTTAATATACTATAATAGACTAATTAATACCAAATTTAACTAAGAAGTCATGCGGCCTTGGTGCAGCTGGAGGCCTGGCATGCCTGTTGCACCTCGCTTCAGGGTTCAGGGTTCGGGGTTTAGGGGTTTAGGGGTTTAGGGTTTAGGGGTTTAGGGGTCTAGGGGTTGAGGGGTTTAGGGTTCAGGGTTTAGGGGTTGCGGGCCGTGGCTACGGATGAAGGCTTAATTAAGCTGCTAAGCAGTGGCTCAGAAAAATTGGAGCGAAGCTCTTCCAAGAAAGATCCCGGCTGCTCCAGAAGTTGAGGACACGACCGCCTTGTAGCCGTAGTCTCGCGCCTTGCAGAGCCCTTTCTGCTTGATGTATGTAAACCTGGAGCGTGACGGTCAACACTCACGGCTGAGCGCTTCTGATACCTAGGGCCCCAGGCCTTCAACTGCCAAGAGAGGGGCCTTAATAGTTCGAATAGGGTTTTAACAGCAACGGCATACTACTACTACTACTACTACTACTACTACTACTACTACTACTACTACCACTACCACTACCACTACCACTACTACTACTACTACTACTACTACTACTACTACCTACCTCCTACTACCTACTACCTACTACCTACTACCTACTACCTACTACCTACTACCTACTACCTACTACCTACTACCTACTACCTACTACCTACTACCTACTACCTACTACCTACTACCTACTACCTACTACCTACTACCTACTACTACTACTACTACTACTACTACTACTACTACTAATTACTTCTGCAACTACTAACACAAACGACGTTGCAAGCCGAGGATGTCGACAAGCGAGTCCACGATAACGGCGATGCCGGCGATTACGACGACGATTACGACGGCGGCTGATGCTCCTACCACGTAGTCCTACTACTCCTACAACTACTCCTGCTCGTGCTACATCCTGAACTACTAGGACTACGACCACAACTGCAACTACCACGAAGACAAAGGCAAAGACGACTACGACTTCTTTGCAAAAACCTCTCCGAGCTCATTGGTTGCAACAACAACAGCAAAGGCCCGGGCCCATTGATCGGGCTTCCGCCCTTGCATCCCATGTTCCCGTATGCTTCGTCAGCACAGTCCTACAGGAGTTCGAAGGCTTTGGGCTTTTTAGCGGCAGGGCCGCATCGAGGGGGTTTTTGAACGATACCGTATGAATGAACAAGTGCTCGATCTCTGCCACGTTTGATTCCGGTCTGTTTTCGGCGTTGGGTCTGGGCTCATATTTAAGAGCCTTTGGTCGCTTGAGACCGAAGAACCAGGCACCCAGACACACACGCACACGCGCATAACCGCGCATATCTGTGCAACGTATGGGTAAGACGCATGCATGCTCATGCATGAACGTATGAAACTTTGTATATACTTAGGCCTTTACGTGGGTATGTATGCATGCATGCATTCATTTTATGTATGGATACCTATAGTCGTGCTGTACTTTGAATCTCCAGCAATACCTGCACATGTTTATATGTGCATGAAATATTGCACCTGTTGGGATGCTCATGAAGGCCCGGAACCCCTTTGTCTCTGATGATGCGACTCTCAACTTTCAGAATACTACTAGTTACTAAGACCTACTTGTACGGAATAAACCCGGTAACCAAATACAGTAGTAGAAGTAGTAGTAATAGTAGTGGTGGTAGTAGTGGGAGTAGTAGCAGTAGGGTAGGGAAAAGAAGAATAATACAATTGAGAGCAATAACAATAATAACACCATAATACATAATAGCGATAATAACACCTTGACACATAAAATTCACAAATACATGAGTAGTATATAAGAATCGCAATCATAACAACGATAATGAATAATAGTAATGAAATGAAACATGAGAATTACACCAACAACACCGCCACCACCACCACCACCACCAACAACAACAACAAGAACAAGAACAAGAACAAGAACAAGAACAATAACAAGAACAACAACAACAACAACAACAACAACAACAACAACAACAACAACAACAACAACAACAACAGCGACAGCGACAGCGACAGCGACAGCGACAGCGACAGCGACAGCGACAGCAGCACCAACAACACCGCCACCAACACCAACACCAACACCAACACTAACACCAGCATCAACAACAACACCAACACCAACAACAACACCAACAGCGGCAACAACAACAACAACAACAACAACAACAACAACAACAACAACAACAACAACAACAACAACAACAACAACAACAACAACAACAATTTTTTATTGGACGCTGAGCGAGCGGGCTCTGCTCATTGCGGGCGAGCAGAAACTTCGGAAGCGTGCCATCCCCGAGTGTGCCGTGAGCCAGCGCCACCGGGTTAGCCATAAGCTAGCACCACTCCCTTAGGATCTGACCTGCCGACATTCTTATAGAGGTTACGCGGTCTTCGCCCGGCGGCCTTGTACAGAAAAAGAAACAGACTGGCGCTTTGCGCGAGGGGACTGCCCATGCGAGAATCGCAGGTACCTCCTTCATCCGTTTCTGAGAACTACGACCGAAGTCAGGCCCCGAGGCCTCGCGTAAAGCAAGCCAAAACGAACTGACCTAACAAAACCAACAGAGAAGACCGCGCAACCCCTATAGGATCCTCAGTGAAGGAAAAAGAGGAGCCGATGCAACAAACGTTAAATGAAAAAAGGCCTAAGTCAAGAAGAGCAGCGCTGCAGACTGTACACAGCAGCAACAGCTCTTGGGCACCAGCCTTTAGGGGATAGGCCACAAGAAGTTGATTTCAGTTACAAAGGCGTTGCCCGTTTTTGCGCGAGCGATGCCCGAAACTCCTAACGTGACAGCCCGACTCACAAAGTCGTCGTCATGTAGCCTCCGTCACCCTCAGTGTGGGTCATTGCGTCCAATACTCACGAACTGGCAGCCGGTGGGTCGTACTCAGAAGAGCCGTCTCCCAGAGTTCCCGTCTAGTGGCGTCCCACACTAGGTAACTCCCGACTACCAGCGATGGGCCGTAAGGATAATTCGTCGTAAAGCAAAAACACGTGGGCCGTCACTCCTAGCACTGCCTGACCCCGTCGGTAACAGGACAGTAACGAACACACCTGGGAGGGCCGTAGCCGTAGCCCGACACCCAGAGCACAGCAAGCGCGTCCGCTTAACGACTGTACCCAGATGTGACGTGGAGCCGTACCAGGTAGACACCGTGCTGGAACTGAAGACGTTGGCCAACTCTGCTGAACCTGAGTCCCCAGTGTCCCAATCTGCGCCTTGTCTTGTAGACAAGTCCGGCCCGGCGGCCCCCGAGAGGCCTCCCCCTCCAGAGAGGATAGCCCCTCGAGGCCCTCAAGGGCACCCCATAGCAAGAGGAGTCCCTGGAATGCCCGTCGGGGCCAGCATTGGGAGGATGCTGACGCGTTGTGAGTCACCACGTTGCGCCTAGCCTGTCCTGAGTCTGACTTGCTCCCAGGCGCTGGCGGCTGAACAGAAATGAAGCGCAGAAAACACTCAACCGTGACGAAGAACTCTCGATCGCACTGGCTTCGTAGCAGCTGGTGGCAGTCCACTGTGCCGTTGAAGGAAAAACTAGTGCTCGAAGAAGACTGCATGAGAATACCAGACGATCCGTGTCCTTCTTGCGGAGGTGTACCAGTTAAAGCGCAAAACCAGAGCGCCAGCAAAACTGCGCAGGAGAGACCTTGAGCTGTACCTGGGTGTCTTGTCGTGTAGCTGGAAAATCGAAGAGAGGAGCGGAACGAGGCCTCAACTCGAAAGCTTCCTTCAGGATACCCAGGTGCAGAAGATGGCCAACCCATGACTGGGGCCGCCCCTTGAATGGCTTGGTGCGGCAGGTCCTTTTGTAAATGTAAAAGCATCGGCAGGAGAAAAGCACTGAGGCACAGTCGACGCGCCTTCCGCTAGTTTCGCCGGAAAGAGAAAACTCGATCCGACTCCTTTCACCCCGCGGAAAGGTGATAACCCTACCGCTTACCTCTTGCCAATGTTGTGTAACTGCAGACAGAGGCCCGGGAATTGGGACCCGGTAGATCACAGCGACACGTGGCTCCAGGGATGGCTATGGCTCAGTAAGAGGACGGTCCCTTAAGCTTCGCAGAAGGGGGACGTTGCGAGCCTCTAGCGTTGGTACCCAGAGCCTTGTTAGCAAAGCTACACAGCCTGCTGTGATCCATAGCGGCTACAACAACAACAACAACAACAACAACAACAACAACATACACGCATAAGTGACAATAGCAATTATGATAGTTGGAGGACCAAATACTTGTAGTAGTAATGATCTTCAGAAAAATAACAAAACAGTCATAGTTAACAGCATAATATCAATATTTCTAGAATGATATGTAATAGTAACAATAATATTACTGCTGTGCCCGCCCGGCAGTCCAGCAACTGCTGCGACGACAAGGTGTACAGCGATCCGCCGAACACCTTCCAGGCACCTGACCAGATGTACGACGAAGCAGACATCCCCGAATACTCTGGGTTTAGGGTTCATAGGGTGGCTGAAACTCCAGATGCCCCAAACAAGCTAATTAATTCATGCGATGGAGCTTGCATCACAATCAGCCTGACCTTCTCTGTTCAGCCCTCTTTGGGACTTTGCCCCTAGAGCAAAGATATGCCGCAGTCCCACGCACAGGGACCTTCCAGCGCACCCGTGGTGGCAAAGGTCCAACACGCGCCGCAGTGCCCCTGATTCTGGACCTGCGTAGTATGCAAAGTGTGCTTCTCCTGTATACTGCCCTGTTATGATTCTGACTATGACTGTTCAGTAAACGGGCACTACTACGAATATTGCCAAGGCTGCTGCCGACCACTACTGTGACTCTGACCTCTGGGATTTATTGCTGTCCTTGCTGCTGCTGCTGCTGCTGCTGCTGCTGCTGCTGCTGCTGCTGCTGCTGCAACTCCTGCTGCTACAGCGCTGTCCAAGTATCTAATACTATAGGGGCCTTGATAATTAGAGTAGGGTTTTGGGGCCCACTATACTATATCATTATAATTACAATAATGAACCCCCTTACTAGTATTGGTAAATGTTTCGGGGCCTATAGTACCAGCTCTAGGAGTATTGAGAAGCAGCAGGAACAGCAGCAAATATGATCTGTTCACTTACCTTTGGTTAGTAGGGAATGGAGGAATGTGGTACAACTATAACTACTATTACTACCATTCTTCCATTCCCTACTAACCAAAGGTAAGGGTTCGGGAGCTGCTTGCTGGGAACATGGTGGGGGGCCAAATCCTGAGTCGCGCGAAGAGCAGCTTCTCTAACATTAGGGGTTTAGGGTTAAGGGTTTAGGGTTTAAAGTTTAGGGTTTAGGGTTTGGTCTTGAAGGGTACACGGTATGCCATGCAGTCGCATTGTTAAGTGCGGTGAAACGATCTTCAAGGGGTTCAGGGGCCTCTGAGTGACAGTTCCGCACATATGTTTTCACCTGTGTTTGTACATCCTCCTGGCCCTGTGTGGCTTGTTAGCTAGTGTTTTGTGGTATGTTTTATCAGACTGTAAATCTGTGAAGGAACTCCAAAACTCGCATTGACGATCATCTGGGCCCCTATATAGTAGCTGGTTTTCAAAGGCAAACAGCAAGCCACGCTGCGGCCCGGGCCACCGACACTGCACCCTCTCCTCAGATTTGGCTGCAAGGTAATCGAAGGACCGAAATACTTAGACAGAGGCTTTGCGGGGCATGTTATACTAGTACAGTTGGTATAATGAGTGTAAAAAGACCCTCAGGAAGAGCATCGCAAATGGCCCTGGCTTCTACAATAGATTAGATCACGACGAAAAGAAGGAGAAGAGTAGGCGTGCGAGAAATCCTCAACCACTGCCCTAACCTTGGCATTAGCTAGCACGGTAAGTACGACCAGACAATGAAGCATGCATGGTCCGGAGGAAAGCTGCCGCCCCCCAAATACCCTCACCCCTGCATGTCAGGAGAACGGAGTCCAAGGACCCAGCCAGTTGTCTAGTAGTGTGCTTTCAACCGCTGGCGCTGAACATCTAAGCCTGAAGCTCGCGTACCACCCGAGTACCTGAACCCCAAGCTCATGTCTATTCCACGAGCAGGAATCGCTAAACACGGCCCCACACCCTGACATCACCGTAGCATCCTGCAACATCCACTTATTCAGGGGCTGAAAACCGGCTATGCCGAAAATGTTCGTCACCCCAGATACGCAACACCACTTAAGTAGTGAATTCAAGAATTTACATTTACAGTTTCCAGGCTTGCCTCTAGTAGATTTCGTTCTCAACCAGACCTTAAAACCATACAGCCTGTAAATCTACCACTGTAGACCCTAAACCTTGCACCCTAAAAACAAAAACGGGTCGAGCCAGAAGCAAAGCCGACGACACAAAGCATAAATCCTGAATCTGAAACCCTACCATAACACCAAACAGCCCACCTATTAAGGACCTGTATAAGGAATCATAATAAGGAAGCCTGAAAAGTACAGTTTTCTAGCACCCAGGTAGACCCGAACACCCGACCCCCTCATCCCTAAACCCTAACCCCCTACACCCTTAACCTCCCAAACCCTAAACCCCGACACCCTACACCCCTAAACCCTAAACCCCTAGACCCCCAAACCCTAAACCCCTCAGCCCTAAGCCCCTAAACCCTAAACCCCTAAACCCTAGGCCCTCAACATCCCTGCATCTGCGTGTCTCCGCCAGTCGACCGAACTCGGAGCTGCCGTGGACCGGAGCAGCGAGGGGTCCTTGACCTCCTCCAGGCCTGGCCCCAGGGAGCAGCTTCGGGACTTTAGGGTGTAGGGTTTTGAGGTTCAGGGTTTAGGGTTTTAGGGTTTCAAGGGCTTTGAGGGTGTGAGGGTTTAGGGGTTTAGGGGTTTAGGGGTTCAGGGGTTAGGGTTTCAGGGTTTAGGGTTTAAGGGTTGAGGGTTTTAGGGTTCAGGTCTTGTGGGTTTTAGGGTTGAGGGGTTTGCGGGTGGAGGGGTTTAGGCGTTACAGCATCAAGGGTTTAGGGTTTGGGAGTTTAGGCTTTAGGCTAAGGGTTTCGATTTGGGATACAAGGCTTAGGGCTTAGAGCTTAGAGTTTGGGTTCGAGGTTTAGGACATGAGGTTGAAGGTGGAGGATTTAGAGCAGCTTCCCACGCCGCAGCGGATAGTCTATGCACATGGCACCGCCTCACATGGGGCGTGGGGAGTGGCAGCACATCTGTCTGTTGCTTAGTGGGGAATGGAGGAATGGATCCCCTTTGAGGATTTCGGGCCTCTTTAAGGGATCCTTTCAGGGGATCTATAGGGTTTAGGGGTTAGGGAATGAGGGAATGGATCCTTATAGTAGTCCCTATATAATCCCCAAGAGCCTTCCCCGTAACCCATTCCCCTTTTCCCTACTAAGAACCAAACAGTCTTGCGTAAAGCCAACGACAGAGTTCGGTGAAGCCGAAAGTGGTTTTACCCACCCTCTGTGACGATACGACAGGCAACCACCTGAACTTCAGACCTAATTACAGGGCCTACGCCCTCGTGTAAAATGGAGGGTTCAGGATTCTAGGATATTGCAGCTCTATGTGAATAAATTCCTTCGTTGGCTCTGCAATGTGCCTCCTAAACCCCGAAACCCCAAACCCCGAAACCCAAAACCCTTAAACCCTAAACCCTAGGGCCGGGAGGGCATCGACTCTTGCGGCGTTAAGCTCTGGTGGTAACAGTCATGCTTCCCTAAACCCTGAAACCTAAACCCTTGTAAACCCTGAACCCTTCAACCCTAAACCCTTAAACCCTACATCCCTAAACCACTAAACGATCAACAACTCTAAACTCTAAACCTCCATACAGGCCCTTCAGCCCTTGAATCCGAAACCCTGTCACGCTTCCGACATGCTTTACTGGCCTCCCCAAATTTCAGAAATGCTGGCATTCTTGTACTCGGCCGGCATACCTAGGCGACACAACTACAAGAGCACTCATGCAAAGCAGAATTTGATTCTTCTTGCGTTTTGAGTAGAATATGGTTAGGATCCGACAATTCAGCATACTTCCCTGTCAGGGCTTCACTGGAAGCCTGATTCTAAACGCTTTGTAAATATTGACATGAAGGCTCGGCACCTGCAAAGCTACCCTAGAGGCTCCAGATATAGTACCATTGTGGAATTGGCCCCTAAAACCCTGATAAGGATGGTCTTTTAGGGCCTAACTCCATAATGGTACAATATATATATATATATATATATATATATATATATATTATATATATATATATGGAGCCTCTGGGTACGATAGCCTCTGCCCTCGAAGGTGACGCGGACGGTTGCAGCGACCTTCGCAACCGCCTTTCACCCCGAAGCAGCGACAACTTGTAGTCCAAGTCCAGCTAAACTCAGAATGCCCCAACCACAAACTGAACCCGACACCTTGGGTACTGCCCCACAGACAATAACAGTCCATAATAGGGCTACTATTAACGGCCTAATATATCTATATTATGAATATTATCCAACTGCTACCGAGAGGGAGTACCCAACTTACACCCTCAACCGGAACCCTACACACGCGCCGCAACAATTCAAAACCCTGAGGATCTAAACTCCCCCCCAAGCCGAAACCCTCAGATCGTGAAGCCGTACGAGACTTGAGAACTGGAAGCCAAGGAAACATCCGTGTAAGTGATCAATAGTTAGCACAAACCCTACATGTACATCCCGGTCCGCAATCAAAGCTCTTAGCCCCAACTTCCCGAACACTAAACTCTGAACTCCGAAGCCACATGCCAGAAACGCTCAAACCTGAAGCCCAAAACCCTGGACCCCTAACACTCGAACCTAAGAACACTGATAAGGTTTATGATGATTACCATTATCCCTTACCCTAAAGCCTAAACCCTAAACTTTAACCCTAAACCCTAAACCCAAAACCCAAAACTTTAACCCGAAAGCCCAGGTGCCATAAGCAGACCGAAACTCCTCCGGACTCAGGTCTGCGAAGCGCGTGATGCCCACAGTGTACTTGTGGTTCTCGCCTCGGGTGTTCTGGGGTTCAAGGCTTGGGGCTTTAGGTTTTTAGGGTTTGGGTTTTTTGGGTTTAGTGTTTTGGGGGTTCAGGGCTTCAGAGCTTTAGGTTTTAGGGTCCAGGGTTTTAGGGTTTGGGGTGTTTTTGGGTTGTTCAAGGCTTTAGGGTTTAGGGCTTTAGGGCTTTAGTGTGTTATGGTCTAGGGCGCTTTAGGGTTTAGGGGTTTAAGGTTATCGGGGTGCTTGAATCTGGCACTTCAGCCACAGACTGATGCTGTTACCTGGTAGCCGCTTGAATGCTGCCAGCTGTCTGTTTGTCTTCTTGATCCACGCCAAGCGGTCGCAAAAGATGTGCATCCTTCTCTCCTGCAGCGCCACCATAATGTTGCGGTGCTGCATGATTAAACCCTACCGCACATGCCCAACAACATCGTGCTGAACAATTGCGAGACAATGCTTGCAAACTGGCAAAAAAACAGTAGAAATTCCGCACGCTATGTCTCCAAACTCCTAACTCGCTGTCCTCCTCTTCCGGAGAGTCGTAGTGCTTGTCGAACTTTCGGACGAAAGCTTGAAACTCGTCCTCGCAAGTCCTTGCAACCGAAAAGCGAGCCGAATTTCTTGTGTAGCAGGTCGACTCCCACGGTACAACATCCCACTATGCGGTAGCTGTTGTATCTTGTTGCGCGATCTAGACTAGGACTGCAGAACACAAGAAAAAGCCCAAGTGCGTCTCCATACGGTTGATGATATAAATCCTGCATTAACTTAATGACCCCTAGACTATGGGAATTATGGTCTATTCCTTATGATGGGTATCGCAGGATTAATATCATCAACAGTAGCACTGCAGAACGCAAGAAAAAGCCCAAGTGCGTCTCCATAGGTGCCCCGTCCTTTCTGCATCGTCCACCTTCGTGGGCCTAGGACAGGAGGCAGCCGGGAAAAGAAGCGGAAAAAAAGGTATTAGGGTAGCAGTAATAGTTGCAGTAGAAGAAGCAGTAGTAGTAGTAGTAGTAGTAGTAGTAGTAGTAGTCGTCGTCGTCGTCGTCGTGGTGGTAGTAGTAGTAGTAGTAGAAGTTATCGTCGTCATGGCAGCGGCAAAACACCGGTGTGACAATAGTCGCCGAATAGCCGTAGACCCGCAAACCTGGGCTCCAAACCCTAAACCCTGAACCCTAATCCCTAACCCCTAAACCCCTCCACCCTAAACCCTAAACCCCAAACCCTAAACCCCTAACCCTAAACCCCTAAACCCTAAACCCCAAATAGCAGTTTTCAGACGCCTAAACCTCGGACCCAATCTGTCGCATGTTTTTTTCACGTTGAAAAACATGCTTCCGAGGCGCCGGAGCCTGGGAGTCGAAGTTGTGGGCGGTGCCGAAGTGGCAAAGGTGGTCCCATCCTGTTGAGAGTTTAGGGGTTTAGGGGTTTAGGGGTTATAGGGTTTAGGGGTTTAGGGGTTTAGGGGTTATAGAGTTTAGGGTTTAGGGGTTATAGGGTTTAGGGTTTAGGAGTTTAAGGTTTAGGGTTTAGGGCTTCGGGTTCAGGGCTTAGGCTTTAGGGTTTGGAGGATTGAGAATTTAGGGGTTAGGCGTTCAGGGCCTAGGGTTTGGAGCTTTAAAGACTTAGGGGTTAAGTGTTCAGGGCTTCGGCTTTAGCAATTTGGAGCTTTAAAGATTTAGGGCGATTTAGGGGTTAAGGGTTCAGGGCATAGGGTTTAGGGTTTGGAGGTTTAAAGATTTAGGGGTTAAGGGTTCAGGGTTTAGGGTTTGGAGATTTTAAAATTTCAGGGGTTAAGGGTTCAGGGTTTAGGGTTTAGGGATTCACCCCTCACCCCTCCCCCCCCCCATCCTCCGCTCGACGTCAAGGGGACTTCCAAGCTCGAACCATGACAAGGCCCACAATCAGGCAACGTAGGGTCCTTCAATAAATAGAATAGGGTTTTGGGGTTATAGTATACTGCAACTCTAATAAGGCACCACAAAATATTGGTAGTATGCAATAGTTCAAGCAACGAACCCCAAAATAGTATTGGTAACTATTTAGTCCCCTGTAGTAGCGACCTGTCTTGGCACCCAACCCCGAACCCCATTTAAGCCCTGAAGCCCACACCCTCGGCCCGATCCCAAAGCCACGGTTTGCATTTTGCTGTCGTGGAGGGGGAGGGGTGGGGTTGTGGGGGGGTAGGTTTATTAAAGCTTGGGGTTTAGGGTCTGTAGGCTTTCCTCTCTGACCCGATGCCAGACATCCCCACAAAACCAGCTCCTGCAACACGCAACCCACAAGCCCGGAAGTATCGCCAGTGAGCCTAAGCCCCGCTTGTTATAGTATCCATTGTAGTTCCCTTTCTTGGTATAGCCAATGCTATATTTCGGATCCTGAACGGTAACCCGGTATCCCCAGAAAACAACTGCATTGGAGACTATAGGTAAACCCAGGGGGATGCCTGTTCACCGGACGCACACACGTGGCTGATGGCCAGGATCTGGGTCAGTTGCAGAATAATCTTTAAGGCCAGGGCTGCGGGATTTAGAACTTAAAGCACTAGGGTTTAGGGTTTAGGGTTTATTTAAAAACATGTTGGTGCATATCACAGCAAAATTTGATGGGGAATCGTACGGGAATCGTAGCACTATTATGTACGCATTTCTCCGACCCCTACATTGCTGCGATTGCTCATTCTGTAGCGCTTCTACTATCCATCTGGTCTCTTTATGTTTTTGTTTCTACTTCTTACTACGGCCAGCCGGTCTCACGATCGTACTTCGTCTGGCTGTTGCTCGGTTTAGGTGCTTGCGAGTCGTGGAGCGTTTTCGATGCAGGGCAGCATGCTGCATGAAATGTCACACCATATAGAGTATACGGCACAGGTACAAAATAGGGCGTCGTCGCAGGTGAAAGCAACAATAGCGGATGAAGCTGCATGGCAATGTTATACTTAAGCAGGGTGGTGCAACATGGTAGACGCTCTTCATGGTGTCAGGCCACGGCACGAACAAACGTGGTATGTCATCTCTGAACATAAGTATATACAGTTTTTAGACAGTCATTAAGGACGGCATAGGGTTCTATAATATGCTTTCAATGAGCATGTTGAAGCACAACAGAAAGAACACAACACAACAAAGCAAAATTGCGCAACATCGGCCATACTAAATCGCAATGTTACAGCAGAGCACGACATAGCACTATGCAAAGAAAATCAAGAAAATGGTCGAACACAACCCAACAGGACATAGGGCAGCACAGAGCGCCGGGGCATCTGAGAGTTTAGCAACATATGTTAGGAATACGGCATGAGGACAAGCAGACACGAGTTCAAAACAGCATGTTGCTATAGAATGGAAGTGCAGCATGCGCAGTACAGAATTCTAACAGAACCAACAGCATACGACCAATGTGAAAAGCTTCTAACGACATGCTGCAATGAGGTTGGTTCATGGAACCGCAGCATTATTGTTTATGGTCCAGTCTTTGCGAAGACATAGAAATGTCAAAGAGAAAAGGTCGTGAAGAACCACTGCCAGCAAGCAGCAAACGCCATGCAACGAAAGACCAACGTGTTAGTCTTCCGTTATCATTATGGAGGATAGCCTCCAGCACAGCATCGAAAAGGACATCATACCTCAGCATCTTGCATCAAAGCCTAAGACCTGAAACCTAAATCCTAAACCCTCAACCCTGGCACCCAAACCCTAACCCTAGAGCGTAAAAGACGCTCCTCTACTCTGTTTCGGCCAGGAAGCTGCGGCAACACGCCGCATGGCTGCTCTTCCACCCCCGATGTCGGGAAGCTAACTAAAGTTTAACTGAGAAACGGCTGCGTGCGATCCCCAGGTTCTTAACAGCGCAGTGCAATCTGCAAATCCCCAACCACGAAACCTGAACCGTACCTAAATCCTAAGCCCTAAACGCTTAAACCCTAAAAGGAAGGCTGGGATACAACTGCGGGGCCGCATGCCAAGAGGCTCTGAGTGATATGTTCGTTCAGAGCACCCGGCCCTTTACGCGAAATGTGAAGTACCGATAATCTCCATCTCCATTATAGTTCCTTTTCGATTATTGTGGTTTGTATTCAGGATCCTATATATATATATATAAGGTAATCCCAAAAAGAGTCTATGGGTATGAAGTCAAGGATCCCGATGCGAAGCTTTTTGACAACGGTCAACTTGCTTGATCTTATAGATCCCCTATAGACTAATTTAAAGGAACCCTAGGACCCCAAATAATATACCCGTAAGTTTCGGAAACTCCCGTCTGACACAGAAACACAGGAGTCGCTGGAGCACGCACTGCCTTGTTTTGCAGACTGCTGTCCGGTCTTTCCGCCTGTCGTCGAGGGTAGAGCCTCGGAATCCCATGGACCCCCAAGGGGTGTTGAGGGTTTAGGGTTTTGGGGTTTAGGGTTTAGGGTTTTGGGTATAGTGTTGAGGGTTGAAGGTTTTGGCGTTTAGGGTTTAGGGTTTTGGGGTGTAGGGTTTAGGGTTTAGAGGTTTAAAGGTTTTGGGACCTCACTTAGCAGTTCCCGCTCTGGTGCGCTGAGTTTCAAGGTCCAAAATGCACCCACACCCACACACACAGAGCGATATGGATGCAAGGCATTTAGAAGCAGCAGGCACCCAGGAATTCCATTACGCTTGAGTTATTCACGGATATACCTACAACGGCCCAAGGGCATGGATATATATGTCTGAGGGAATATGCTCAGTTAACCGTTAGCCGGGGTTGAGCTCTCTACACAGGTTTTTTTCGCGCATAGTTCACGAATGTCGGCTTGTCTTTTTGCATCGCTTGTCAACGCAGAAAACTGGTCCGGACGAAAACGGCCCTGGTGCACGGTACCTCTCGCACTGCTATAAGTGACCAGAAGTGAATGGCTGGCTGCTAGTCTGCTTGTCGCAGCCACAGCATCATGGAGATCATCAAGGTTAATGCCGAGTATCTGGACTACAGCACGTTCATGCACATCCTATAGCAGTTAGTATAAGGGCCTTAATCATCAGAATGGAGGTTTGGGGCTCGTGATACTCTAAATAATATAATATGGAGCACCCAAAATAGTATAGGTAAGTATTAAAGCCCCTGTAGTGTAAGAGTTTCAGTATGAACGGTAGCGTTTATCAGAGTCTCACTGGCCGCGGGAGTCGATGGGCTGCGTTGGTGGTTTGGGGCTTCGGTGCGGCTGTTTCGATACCCTGACGTTCTAGTAGTATAATTAGAACAAGGTTTTGGGGCCCATAATACTATATTTAGAATAAGGCACCCCCCAAAGTAGTATTGGTATCTATTTAGGCCCCTATATTGAGCCAGTTCGGGAGTCTCCTGTCCATGAACGAGAAGGCACCGTCACACCCGGGCAAGGATATGAGCTGGACCACAACAGAGAAGGCTGCCTATGGGCCGCAGCCCTACAGCTGTTTTGTCTTGATTCCGTGCTTTCCGGGCCCCATGCCCGCGAACACCAACCCCAAACCCAGCCTTAAACCAGGCATGCCTCCACACATCGTGTGGTAAGCGGTGTCATTCTCTCTAAGCTTCGTTTTGGCGTTTGTAGCAAGCCTATCATCTTGGATGTTGTAAAAAACCGGATTTCTTTGCTGTGTCTGCCCGATGTCGTAAAGCATGTGGCAATGTCTTGAGTACGGTGCGGTCTGAAGTTAGGGTGTACCGCTGAGGGTTTTGGGCATTTTTGTTATCAGGCATTCTTCCGCCCGTAGCATCCGAGCCAGAAGGGGTCAAGGGTTTGAGGATCTTGCCATCCTCAGCAGCAATCATCTGCGGTGGGGAACATCGGCTTCCGACCGAGAACGTAAGACACGGCCAAGTGCAGCAGGAGAGGCTTGGACTACCCGAAAGACTACGGCTGAACCTTGCAACCATCTAGAGTTTCGGGTTTTGCGGCTTAGTCGGCCACAACGGAGTTGCAAACAGTTCTGGTTTGTTGGGAGGAAATTCTTCGGCTTGCAAAGTCGCAACCCCTGCTTCGTAGTAGGTAGAGGTGTGGCTGTATTTCAAGTGCCGGTGCCTGGGAGGGAGCACAGGTTTTCTTTTCTGCATGTAACAGAAACCCAGGATCCTCAACTCGACGGACTCAAGCATACTTGGAGGATCATGGGACTTAGCAGGTAAGGTTATAGCACCTTGAGTGGGGGTTATAAGTATAGTTACCCTAATTATAACCCCAGTTACTAACTCCCATGATCCTTCAAGTACTTTAACCTTCAAGCCAGAAGGGACCTGAGGTGGCCTAGGGTTCAGAGTTTTGCAGTACTAAACTCTGTCTGAATCCTCCGCAACTACGTACGAGTCCTCAGCCCCAACCCTATACTACTACGACTTGGGGAGCCTTGTGACCTCTAACCCCAAGCCGATACCAGCATCATCTAGGAGACCCCTTTTTTCAGCCATCATAGCCCCCCATCTGCGCGCTTAGGAGGGTGGCGGCGAGCCCCTCAGCTCTGGCGGGAGCAGGCCTGCAGGGGCTTAGCTTCTCTGGGCTTAGGGTTTAGAATCCTAGATGCTGAGGGTAAGCGTTTCGGGCTTGATGATTTAGGGGGTCTCGGGTAGGGCTTTGGGAGTTTGGGTTGAGGGCTCAGGGTTGAAGGCTTTCGGGGTTTAGGGTTTTGGGTTTAAGGCTTTCGGGACATGCAGGGGCTGCAGTAAGATGTGCTTGGCTTCGTTGCTTCGGATGCAGGCTGCATCGGACGGCACGTCTTTGTAGTTACAGCGTGCCGTGATTTCAGCCTAAGCTGGTCGAGCAGTTCAAGTTTAGGGTTTGGGGGTTCACGCTTACAATGTAGGCTTCAGGATTTAAGGGTTTCTGCCTGGGGTTGAACATGCACGGCTTGGGTTCAGAGTTCACCGTGGCGACACACCAAATTTGGGGTTTAGGCTTTGGGGTTTAGGGTTTAGGGAGTAAGGTGTGGGGAGTGCTTTGAGCCCAACTAAACCCTAGTTTCTAGTCCCTGAAACCTAACCCTAAACCCTAAACCGTCTAGTCCCTGAAACCTAAACCCTAAACCGTCTAGTCCCTGAAACCGAAACAGTCAAAGCCAGGCGGCTGAAGTTGGCTTTCGGGCTGTTCACCAAGTTCGCATACACGAACAGTCCCTGGCAGGCCCCCTGTTTCAAACCCCAGAATGCCTTGGGGTACAGGGGTGTGTTTGAGAGTTTAGGGTTTAGCATGTAGAAGTTTCAGGTAAGTGTGGACTTGGGCTTCGGGATTCATATAGTTAGCCCTAAACCCTAAACGCTAAACCCTAAACCGTTAGGGCTTTGATTTGGGGTTTGGTGTATCGCCCGCCCCCTCCCCCACAATCATGCGAAGAGTCGGGTGTCGGAGCGCACTCTACGATGCTTCCACAGGAACTGTCAAGGTTTAGGGTTTAGGGTTTAGGGAATAGTGAATAGTGTTGGTGATTTAACCTCTGGGCCTTCTATATGGGCCTCATGGTTTAGGTTTAGGCCGGTTGCAATGCAAGGAACTGCAGGACTCTCGACTCGGGCCGGGGACTTTCATGCTGCCCAACACCCTTCCCCAACATGTTGGTCCCCAACTCCTGTCAAGCGGCGCTGATATTTCTGCTGGTATTGGCGATTGCTATGACTGCAACTATTGCTACGGCTGGTGCTGCTAGTGCCCACGCTAGTGCCAACACTCGTGCCAATTCTAGCGCCACTGCTGGTGGGCATTGCCATCTTGATTGCGACGCAGGTGAATGGGATTTGAAACTGCGCTGCATGCTACTGCCACTGTCATTTATTACTATGTTTACTCCTGTGACCTTTGATGCGATGCTCCATCAGAACTCACTGACTAGTTTGCGATTGTGCAAGATGCAACACGTGCCTATGATCTACCTGAAACCGTCAACCTTTTCCCGCAAAAGCCCTAAAAGCTAAACCTCTGAACCCTAGACCCTGTACCAAACCCAAATGAACCCCTCTTGGAACCCGGGCAGTCAGCAGTAAACTCCAGAAGGCAAGCGGAGCGAAGAAAATGATTGGGTTGTCTTCCTTCGTGACACATATAGAAACTTAGGACCTGAACAGTACCGTAGGGTTCAGGCAGGGTTTAGAGTTTAAGGTTATGGGTATGGGTTCTGGTTCACTTTAGGGTTAAGGGTTTAGGCTTATGGGTAGTGAGCAATAGCTTGGTCGTTAGAGTAGGACTTGGGGTATCCTATATCGCGACAACCAGGGCATACGTCTGCACTTCTACATGTATGGCTCTATGGCGCACCGCACAAGGCAAACGACAAGGACTCAAAGACACTTATTGGGGCAGACGTGGGAAAATTGTCAAACGGAATCGCATAGCCCTCGAGGCAAAAGCATTTCCCTGAGCTGTCTCCTAAATGCGAAAGCATATGCCAAGTCCTAATGCCCTCAACCTGTATTTAGAGCCCTGCTTGGCTGAGAGAATGTGCCATGTTGTTGAACCCAGTGACTTTGGGATGAGAGATGGAGCGCAGAATTCAGTCGGCTAAGCAACCGTAAACCTTGTTGAATCATACAGTCATAGAAGCTCAAAGTCAGTAAGCCCATACCCGAAAATCTCACTCCCTCAACTCTGTAAAACCCTCAAACCTGAAGCTTCAAGCTCTTACATGCAGTAACCAATTAAACCCTAAACCTTAAAAACCGTCAACCCTAAACAGTAAACTGTAAACAACCCCAGACCAGAAAAACCTGAATCCAAACCCGAAACCCCAAACCCTCTGCCCTCTAAACGCGGCTCCTGCTTGGTCTTCTGATCCTC